AAATTGGGAATCACACAGCTAAAAGCAATGAATCAACGGCTTCTGAAATAAAGAAACAGCTGCAGAAAGATATAGAGGAACTCAGATTGGAAATAAAAAAAGAAATCCCTGAATTAATAACATCTGCAGTAAAGAATCAAATGCAGAAACATATGGAGGAAACCCCGTGCCCACCCAGAACAAGTGTGGAGGCCACTAGCTCGGCTCAAATGCATGAATTAATAGTGTCGATAGTAAATAAGCAACAGCAGAAAGATATAGAGGAAATCAGAGTGCAAGTCTTTTCTGAAATAAAAAAAGAATTCTCAGAACTCATAGCATCTGAAGTGAAGAAGCAACTACAGAAACATAGGGAGGAAACCCAAGCACATATAAAGACTAAAAACTTAGATAATTTAGACATTTCTAATATAAACTGCTCTGCTTTTCAAAACTGTGGTCAATTTTGAGCGTTTACATAAAAATGAAACATTACGAGTCAAAGATAACTAATACTGCATTACATTGTGCATTATGCATATAATAAGTAAAGATCCCTAATTTTGTCAATAAGGGCTACCAAAATATAAACTGAACCAGTAAAGCTTTAATTACAAATGGATCTGGGAATTATGTACAGGATGAAGTTGCCACATCTTGACTCTGGAATCCAGAGGTGTTTGGAGAATTAGCCAGAAGATGCTATCGACTGCACTACCAGGTTGGGAAGACACAGAAGAGCATTTATGACATGACACAAGTTATATGATGAAGACACAATCAGGACAATTTCAGGTCAAAGGAACAGCAAGACTTCAACAAAGACAAATAGAGGAGCTCTTCTTAGCAGCAAATGCAGGCAAGCACCAAACAGGATATACAGAAAAAGAGGCCAGATAAAGCACACTACCTGCTCTATGCGGATATATGGTAAAGTACTTAATCAAACAGACATGTGGACCAATGGAACAGAACAGAGCACCAGAAATAATAGCAGGCACATCCAGCTATTTGATCTTTGACAAAGAGGCCAAAATTGAAGGAAAGACTCTTTAATAAATGATGTTGAAAAAATTGGATAGCCACATGCAGAAGATCGAGTTTAGACCCATGTATCTCATCACATACTGAGCAAAGATCTAACTGTTAAAACAGGACCCAGTCAAATAGTTCAGCAGATTAAAGTGCCTGCTTGGGCAGATCCTTGAAGACACAGACATAGGTAAGGACTTTCTGAACAGAACACAAATGGCATAAGAAATAGCACCAAATGTCAACAAATGTGATTATATCAAATTAAAAAGCTTCTGCAGAACAAAGAAAACCAACAGTGTGAAAAGATCACCTAAAAATTAGTCAAATATCTTTGTCAGTTATTCCTCAGTCAGAGCACTAATATCCAGCATACATAAGGAATTAAAAAAAGATGAGACCCACCAAAATAGAAGACCAAATCAAAAACTGGGCAAGTGAAATGAATACACATTTCTCAGAAAAAGCACAAGTGGTCAATAAATACATGAAAAATGTTCAAAATCATTGGTCAGTAGAGAAATGCAAACTAAAACAATACTGAGATTCCACTTTATTCCAGAAAGAACAGCTCTCATCAAGAAGTCAAAGAATAACAAAAGTTGGTGAAATGAATCAGATAAACAAGCTTAAGTATTACATAGCTTCAGCTATAAGTGAAGCCCAAGATATAAATAAAGAGCAAAATTAAAAGTTAATACAAAATAAAGAGATCTTTTTCAAAAGGGAAGGGGAATAAGAGACAGACAAAAGGGGAAGGAAGGGAGAGAAGATTTTAAAAATGTAGCTAGTAGGGGGCTGGGGAGATGGCTCAGTAGAATAAGCGCTTGCCTGGTAAGCACAAGGGTCTGAGTTCAATCACAGGTTCCACCAAAAAAAAAAAAAAAAAAAAAAGGAGCTAGAATTTTTGCAAATGCAAAGGGAACTGAGAAACAGAAGGAGCAGAGAAGCTGAGGAGGGGACACATGAACATACAATAACTCCCCACAATGAATGCAATTATAATGTACTGAAACATGTACGATACTAATAAAAAAACTAAAAAAAAAAAAAAAAAAAAAAAGGAAAAATAAGGCATTTCATACATCCTAAATATATTTTGCCTCATCTATTGACATTCATCCCATTTTCACTACTTCTTGACATAATTATGGTCTGTCATTTTGATATGACTTGACAGATTTGAACCTCTTGCCCAGGGTGTCTAATGAGAAAGTCACTGCTCAACTTTGCTCTCAAAAATACAGCTGTAAAAACCCTTAAGCTCATAATGGACTAGAACATGAGTTCACCACAGACATGGACTGAAGAAGACTGCATTACCTGACGAGGAGCTGTTCTTGCTCCTCACCCAGCTCAGAAGGGGCTACTGTCAGCCGGTGAACAGCAGACTGGGGGCTTAACTGACTGTGGCTGACAGCCAGGAAACTGTCTTCCTCAATCCAGGTGAGAAAGGTGAGTTTCAGTGGATTTACTTCTTCATCTTCAGCATTCACACACTGAATTCTGTGTTAAATATTTAAAAAACAAAACCCAAGATATGACTAAAACTTTAAAATCACTTAACATTTAAAATCTTCCCTGAATAAAGAATGACCCACCTACTGTTTGCTCATCCCATGCTTCCCACCATCACCACTTACCCACATTCAAACCAGATGCCAGCAGATACTTGGCTCTCAGTAGAACAGGCCCTTTCCTAAGGTCCTAACATCCAAGAGGCTACTTTGGGAGATGGTGTCGGTACATCCGCTGACTTCTTCAGGGAGCACCTATCTACTAGGGTACTGTTTTTCCCGCCTCACCATGCAGTCTACTTCCTGCCTTTTATATCCAACAACAAACCCTCAGCTCCCACAGAAGAAGCACGTCATACCGTAGTCTTCCTACTCAACCAGCTCATCCCAAACTTGGTCTCTCTACAGACTGCTCTCTAAACAGAATCAGTCCACCTCTGTTGTTAACAATACTCTCCAGTGCTTCCCAAACCCAAACTAATCCTTTCTGCAAAGATCAAGCATTCATGTTATTCATGAAATCTTCTCTGAATGACTTGGAGTTACTCCTCTTTAAAAAAAAAAAGAAAAAAAAATAGGGGCTGGGGAGATGGCTCAGTGGAATAAGCGCTTCCCTGGCAAGCGCAAGGGCCTGAGTTCAATCCTCAGTTCTGAAAAAAAAAAAAAGAAAAAAAAAACCCCTATTTTCTAAGGTTCATATTTTCTAATTTGTCTTATATTTTATCCTCTAGTAATCTTAAGTCTGTGAGCTACAATTTGGATCTAGAATGTTCCACAAGGGCCCACGAGCCCAGCCCATAGGAGGCAGTGGATCCCTTAAGAGGTCAAGCTTATCAGGTGATCGTAGGCCACTGGGATAATGCCCCTGAAAAGGACTTTGGCACCCTGGTCTCTTCCTCTTCCCCACCTGAGAACAAGGTGAACACAACTCCTCCACTGTGGACTGCTGCCATGATGTACTACGCTGTCATGGCCAAAGTAATGGGACCAACTCACTATGGACTGAAATTCACCTCTACTACTGTGAGCCAAAATAAACCCTTCTCTGTAAGTTGACTTATGTCAGGCATGTTAGAGCAATGGAAAGCTAACAAACTATAAGAAATAGGCAAGTAGTTTTAAAAAGTATTAAAAATTATATAAGCCCCTATATCACACAGACTATGTACTTACATATTTATTCAATTCTGTTATTTTGCTATACTACATTATTTCTATTAATTTACCAACAGATACTCTCAGCAGGTATGGTTCAGTAATTAAGAACACAGACTTAACAAACAGAACAGAATCAAATTTTGGACTCTATAATTATTAGGCTCATGACCTTGGTCAAGTTACCTATCCTCTAACTTTTGTTTTTTAATTGTAAACACTCAATGGCTTATGGATCACTTTGCAAATACCCAGTAGCTTGTAATACTGTTTCAATGAAAAACATGCACTCTGATCTGAGAACTTCAAAATACAAGTTCAAAGTTGAACTAAGTCATCCATATATTAGCATCCATATTTATATAAGAGGATGCAACTCTGCCTATAATCTTTACCTCTAACTTTCCTATGTGATTTTCTCTGCCGAGCCAGTGACTGGAGCTGTGGAGTGGGTCCTGACTAGTTTATGACTCCCACTTCCTTGCCACCCACTTGAATACCGAGCACTCAGATAAATCAAGTAGCCACCTCAACCTGGAGAAAAACACAGAACCTGGCTGCTATATCTACTTTATTCCACTGAGCAACAGGCAAAGAACATCAGGTAGTTGCCTTAAAAAAAAAAAAAGGTCTGTTCTAGGGCCAGCCAAATAGCTCAGCAGGATTTGCAAGCAGGATCTGCAAGCAGGTATAGGGGCAGGGGTTTAATCCGCCCTCAGGGCACGCTGAGATGGCAACTGAGACTGGGGCATGGTGGCACGAGCCTGTAATCCCAGCTCTTGGGAGGCTGTAAAAAGGTGGATCACTTAGAGTCCGATCTAGTAGTGAGACACTGAACACCCTGCAGACCCTTCCCTAAAATAAAAAAAGGCTGTTCTGTTCCCAGAGGCCCAAAACAACGAAGGACCTACATGTATCTCTTTTCCAGATGAGGTGTTCTAAGAGGAACTTTAAATCCACTTCCACCCACAGCTCCCAGTGTCACTGTGGGGTCCACACTTGGGCTATCACCTAAAAAATAAGAAGGGGGATATTACAAACTGTAACTCATTTTCCTGATACTAAGAGGATGGAGATTCTGAAATTAGTGAGTTCTAGAAGGTAAATACAGAAATATAGAAAATAGCCATACGTCAACCTCTTGCTTAAATCTGTATTATCTTCAAGGCTTAAGACAAACCTGTGTCCTGTTACCACCAGATCACACAACCTTTACCAATAAAGCCATACCAGCAAGCCCAGGTGAAGGGCCTCCCTTATTCAATGCTATTTGTTCCACTGTTCTACAACCATCTCTCGTTATCTCAACACTCTGAAATCCTTCATACTCCTTCAAGACATTTCTCTCTCCACTTCTGATCCAGTGTATTCACAGTGGACAAGGCAATTCTTTCAAGAATTTAGAAAAAAAAAGAATTTAGTCATGTAGGGTACAAGAATACACAGCTAGGGCTGGCGGAATGCTGCGGACTGCAGTGGGCCGCGTGCTCGCAACTGCAAGGCTGCGTGCATCCCAGGGGATCCGGCCTGAGGCGGTTGGGGGTCGCCCGGTCCCACCCCCCGGCCCCACCCGGAGCTCTCAGGGAGATGGCCGGCCTGGGTCTGGAGCCAGGGCTGGCGGCTCATGAGCTCCGGGGTGGAGCCCGCGACTGGGCTGGGGTGTGTGGAGGCGGCGCACTACCAGCTCATCTACACTTGCAAGCTAGGTCTGTGGGACTTGGTCTTCCAAGCGCATGTCCAAGCTGGCCTATCACCAGGGCGTGGTCATTGTGATCTGCCCTGGCTGCCAGAACCATCACATCATTGCAGACAACCTGGGCTGGTTCTCCGACCTGGACAGGAAGAGGAACACTGAAGAGATCCTGGAGGCCAGAGGAGAGAAGGTGTGCTGGCTGGCTGACAAAGGGGCTCTGGAACTGATTTTGGAGACCGCAGGGCCCTCCAAGTCCCCTGTGGACCCAGAAGTTGGTGACAATAAGGATCCCACCCACACTTGCAAGACGGCAGAGCTGACTCCATGATCCCGAATGCTGCAAGGCACTGCCTCTGACAGGGGCCCTTGGTTGGTCTTGGACGTGGCCTTTTCCAGTCAGTAAATGTCACCTCTGTGCATGGCAAAAAAAAAAAAAAAAAGAATACACAGCTATACTTCCAGCTACCCAGGGGTCCTGAGGCTGGAGATGTCAAATTTGAGGTGAGGTTGGGACATTTAGTGAGAACTCAGATCTTATCTCAAAATAAAAAATAAAATGGGCTGAGGATTTATTCAGTGGCATAGTACTTGTCTAGCATACACAAACTCTTGGTACAATCTTCAGTACCAAAACAAAAACAAACAAAAATTAGGACACCACACTTCTCTGTTCCAAACCCTCTTAAGAGACTTTCTGGCTCATTCAGAGTAAAAGCCTTCAAGGCCCTCTAAAATCTGTTTCCCTGGGGACAGGGAGATAGCTCAGCAGCATAAGCGCCTGCCTGGCAAATGCAAGGCCCTGAATTCGATCCCCATTACAAAAACAAAACAAAACAAAAAACAATAGTTGTTCTCCAACATCCTCAAGACTCTACCTACCAACTTCCCAGCAATTTCTCTGCTGCAGACACCAGGAATTTCTTGCTGCTTTCTAAACACAACAGACAACTTTACAGTTACTCTTCACTCTGTTCTGAATGCCCTCCCTACATGCTCACATGGCTCAGACCAGATTCTCACTAGGTCTCTGCTTAAACATCTTCACAGAGAGGCCCTCCCTGATCACCCTAGACAGAAAAGCCAGGTCCCCCTAGTAGGTCCTCACCCTCAGGCTCTCCCTGTAGCCCATCTTACTTAATTTTTCTCCACAGCACTTAGCAAATGATGCATTATACTGCCTTGATAATGAACATATCAGTATTTCTAAAAAAACTATTTTTAAAAGTTTAGGAATTATAATAGCAAACTACACTCAGAGAAACTGGTACTATATCTAAATAGGATTCATGTACAGAAGACTTTTGACTTAGCAGAAAAGGTGATGTAAAAGCAAGGAATGTTAGTACAAATGAATTATTTTATTTTCCCTCAACAGTTACCTATGCTTTTTCTGATTAAAACTTCAAAGGACATTTCAAACAAGATTATCATTTCCATATACCAATTTACTTTATGACATGTCTACAAACCTCACAAATAAGGAACTTCAGGTATTCCAGTACATCAGAAAATAACAGGAACTAAGCAATAGGACCATGAAAAGACAACTACAGTAGTAGTAACTGGAGCTCCTATGTTAGGTTCTTACTCGTTCTTGCTCAAGCACAGAGCAATGCCCGGGACACTGTGCCCTCACCCACAAAGCAGGAAAAGCCATCTCTGACTGACATGGTTTCAGCAGAGATATCAGACCACCCAAAATCTTGTAAAGAAACAAAAATAGATGTGAAAAGAAGTAATAAGATCCTATTTATTTCCAGGGCTTAATGTTACTCTGAAGTAGCTGCCTCTTCAAATTCAGTACAGCAAACAGAAATGCTTATAAACTAGAGTAGGATTCAGAAAAAAAAAAAAAAAAAAATGCAGCCAACTAAATGTTATAATACTGAGAACAATTCTAAACTTCAGAATTTTTGAAATACTTAAAAATCAAACTACAACTTGCTTTGAGTAGAAGTAAAACAAAACTAATTCAGAACATATTAAAAAGTGCTTTAACATACCGCATTTATACACAGAAATCTGGTTACTGTCATCTAGAACAGCAAGGTCGTTACTTTTTTTAGAGTGTGCAAAGAATGTGACTTGATTCACTGGATGTGGAAGCAGCAGGCAGTACGTGCACATGGGGGGCGGGATCACAGTCTGCCGGAAGACTGTCACCAGCACCTTATCTACAGGTGAAACAAAAAATTAGACATCCAATGTGTCAAATAGGTACAGTAAATCCTTAACAAGTTCCATTCTGGGAGAATGTTCTTAAGCTGGCTCATTCAGAGTAAAAGCCTTCAAGGCCCTCTAAAATCTGTTCCCCTGGGGACAAGGAGATAGCTCAGCAGCATAAGCGCCTGCCTGGCAAATGCAAGGCAAGCTGGATTTATTCTTAAGTCTGAAAAAGTAAATCCTATATACCTTCACACAGTAAAAGGTAAAGCATAAAAAACAAAGCACACAAAGATTCACTAAGTCCCTGACTATACTGTACTATATTGTACACTATCACACTTTGCAGTGAGCACACAGTGGTACAGCTGTGACAATACACAGCAGACACATGAGGTATGTTGAGAATCTGTTTTATAAATGTTCTTAACGTGAGGTCTATTTGTGTCTGTGAATGACTGCAACTTGAGTAAAGTTGGGGACTTACTGTAAGTGGCACTGTACTTTGGAGTAGTAATGATGGCAGAGAACATAAACCAATTCTTGAAAGTGAATTCTGGAAATTTTCTCAGGAATAAGCTTAAAAACAGCATGAAGAGGGAAAGAAGTGCCACAGATACTTTCTTGTCTGCTTATTGTTACTGCCAGGCTTACGGTGCTCTATCTATAAACTTGGAAGTTTGAGGTGCAAAAAGGCCAAGAGATCAGAGCTCTGGTTTTAAACTTTGCCCTGTGGCCAAGATAAACTAAAGCAATGGAATCAACACTTTGAAAATTCTTTTTAAGACAGGGTCTTGCTCTGTAATTCAGGCTGGCCTTAAACTTGCTCTGTAGCCTCCCAGGCTGGTCAAGCTGTTCTTGAACTTGAAGTGATCCTCCTTCCTTAGCCTTGCAAGTGCTGGGATCACAGGCATATACTCTCATGTCCAGCTGATACTTAGAAAATTCTTAAAGGACTTTCCTACATGTGGATTTGGTAACAAGACAGAATTAAGTTCACTATACAGAACATATGACTGCAAAATCAGTATTACAATCACTATGGGGCAGGGGAGATAGCTCAGCAGCATAAGCACCTGCCCGACAAGCCCAAGGTCCTAAAGCCCATCCCCCCCAAAAAACCACTCTATAAGACAGGAGTCACTGTGCTCACTTCAGCAGCACAAATAATAACACAGGAATTAGTAATAACTACCTGTGAACTTAGAAACAAGGATCCTACTTGCTGTCAGCATAAGTAAACGATTTGGGTGACTACCTGACTCACCAATCCAGCCCCCCCTCCGAAAAAAATCCTCACCCAATCTTAGCACACCAACCTATGCAGATTTCTGTGAAATAAACTGAACATCCTAGAGATGTAATTTGCGACTGTTTCTATCAGGAAACAAAGCAATGTAAGTGGAGGGGCACAAGAGTCAACAGAGACGAAGCTAACACAGCCCAACTCATAAGATGATATTGCTGGCTTCATATCAAAAGGTCAAAATTTTCAGTCGTCAGAGGCCAGAGGAGTAAATATATGAAGGCTATGTATGTAGTGCAACAAGGAAATGGGGATCACTATATTTTCAGGAGAACATATGTCTCACCTGGCATTCCCAGTCAGAAACAAAACAAATAAGGAAAACTACACCAAACAATTAAAACATTCATGTCAAATACCACACTTTCAGGACCCCTAAAACTCATGCGTACATTCCCCAGCAGCTTACTTCCATCAATGACAGCCACGTTTGCCAAGTCACTTGAATTATCTCCTGAGCTCCGGTCAGTTGTCCAGTTCCAGTCATAGCAGAGGTAATGCCAGCCTTGACAGAGGACATGCAGCCGGTATGGGATCACTGGGTCCCACATCAGAGACACAATCCTGCTCTTCACACTGGTATTGAAGGACAGGTTTTGTTTGAGATACCAGTGATAGTTTCCAACAGTCCAGAGCTGAACTATAAGAAAAACAAAAGCAAAGTCTTCAGAGGGCAGGCCAACTTTATACCACTCGCTAATGGACAAAGTAGCAATTCTGTCTATTTCAAATAATCTCTCCTGCTCAAGTACACTCATACCAATGATGTCCTGGGTAATCTTATGGCACAACTACTGAATATATGGCCTGTGCTTGACTAAAACATCACTGCGCAGCACGCAACTGCTACAAACTCAAAGTAAGATCTGGATTAGCACTGCCATGCTGAATTAATCTTCCACTTGCTTTTCTTCAAGATACCAGGCTACCTGGTATTAACCATGACTCAGCTGCTCAAAGAAGATTAGCATACAGGCAAGTACCCTTTTTAACATGTATGGAAAGAATAAAATCTTATATTTTAAAACCAAGTTTTATTAAAACAGATGACACACACAAATTAAAATTCAGCAATATCCCTGCTCAGTGATTCTAACTTCATGATCACAACAAATAAATCAAGCTGTAACAATACTTCTCTGTAGTCATGAGTTAGTAAATTAAATACAGGCTCGTACTCCATGAAGGCAGAGGTGGTGCCTAGGGTTAGGCACATAGCCCAGCAGTACAAGCACCTGCCTGGCAAGCATGGGGTTCTGAGTTCAAGTTCCAACACCAAAAAAAAAAAAGAATAAGTTATACCTATTATACAATATCTTATCCTAGTACAACACAGTGTCATCCCTTGACACACTAGATACTCAGTGATTCTTAACTGTAGGTCTAGGTTTAAATCACCAGGGAGTTTTTATTTTTAATTTTCCAAATCCCTGGGTTCAATTCTCAATGCTGTCAAAAAGAACTAATCAATTATTTAATTAATTAGATTTTGAAAGCCACTTAAATAGTAACAGATTTAAAATGAAGATGTACAACTGAAATGAAAATATGCATGTGACATACTGTAAAATGAGCTGTTACATACACATATGAACTCTCATGATGAATGCAATCATTTTGCAATATAGACATAACTAATAAAATTTTTGTTAAAAATTAAAAAGCAAGTCATGAATGAGCATGTATCATTACCTATACATATTTTTTCCTGATACTGGGAATGGAACTCAGGAGCTTGCACTTGCTAGGTAGGTGCTTGTACCACTGAGCTGTATCTCTGGCCCTATTACCTATATTTTTAACAAAAATAAGATTATAGCTACAATGAGATACACATAAATCTAGAAAACGGGAATGTTTTTATAGTGATTAAAAAAAGTGATTAACATTATACGCTATGGATTATGTCTACATGTCCTCTCAAAGCCTCACGTAGTTATAGGTGGGGCTTTCGGAGGTGGCTGGATCTAGGTGTCTGATGATGGAATTATGGGTGTATGATAACTACATTAATCCATTGATTTGGCTTGGCATAGTTCTGGGTATAGGTAATAGAAAGGCTACACAGGGTGTAGGTGGCACCACCCAAAATCTGGGCAGCCTGGAAGAGTAAAAGAGACAAGCTGCTGCTGCTTCACAGCTTCACTGCTCGCCTTCTTCCACCTGCCATGAACTGTTTCTCCCCTGTGATGCCCCTCTGCCATGCCACCTTGACTTGAAGCCAGCTAACTATCAACTGAAACCTCTACAAACGATGAGCTACAATAAACTTCTCCATTAACTTCGGATTCAGATGTCTGGATGAGAAAAGTAACTAAGACAACTGAATACTCAATTGCAGGAAATTTTCCTTCTTTTTACTTTCTGATGTTCTTAGACATTATTTAATACTTAAAACATATTTATACATTTAAAAAGCTTTAAGAAAGATTCTTAGTCCAATCTAAATCCCTTCACTTCCACAGCATTCCTTCGTATAGCATTCTGAGTGTCTGTGGCAACACCACCCAAGATAGAGCACTAATGACTGCAGTGGTTAATTTGGCTAGGCTATGGTGCCTTGGTCAAACACTAGGTGCAGATGTTGCTGTAAAGGTATTTCATAGATGTGATTAACATAGTTTACTTTACAAGAAGGGATTCTGCTTTAAGACTGTAACAAAAACCACACCTTCGTTTCCAGCCTGGTAGCCTGACCTATGAATTTCAAATTTGATACCTGCCTCAAATGCATCCACATCTTTCTGACCAGCACTCACAAATATCCTACTGGCTCTGTATTTCTAGAGAACCCTGACTGACACATGGCCGAATCCAAATGACCAAACCTCTCCATTCCCCATCTGTATCTAGCCATTTCAGCTTCTTTGAATCAACTAAGGGACTAAATAGAAAGGACAAAGGGAATCCTACACTATTCTTTTTCCAAAAACATTTTATGAAGTACAAGTCAAGATATTATAGCTATTTTACCATAGGTTTTCAAAGCAAAATCTTCTTCCCTCTGAAGGTCTTCCAGCCAAACAGCAAGCACAGAGGAATCTGCATTCCACAGCAAGTCATTTACCTAACAGGGAAAAAAGCAAGTCATTTGGGGAAAATGCCCTTGACCTTAAGCCTCGCAATTACTTGAAAATCTTCAATATAGTTAAATTTTCTGCTCTCACAGCTGCTTCAAGTTTAAATGTTCAAAAAGAAAAATGTCCTGATCATTGAAAAAAAATGACTGTCAAAATAAACAGTAAAAACTAGTATTTCTATTTCCTCTACCTATGATGGTGAAGAAATGAAACTTATCTACAAAAAAAAAAAAAAAAAAAACCCAATTTCTCCTTTATTTAAGAAAAAAAAGGCAGTTACAAAGTCCACCATTTTATTACTATCTACTCTGGCAGGAACGTGTATTTATATACCTCTATCAAATATAAACCTCTACAGCTGAGGCAGTCTTCGGACGGCAAACAACTCAGATTCCTACCTTAACCTCATCCTTGAAGAAGGGAAGCATAAAGTGACCATGAAGAAGTCCGTTTTTCTCAAAAAACACAACATCCTGCCCATTGGGTTTCTCTTGTGTAGATGCAATCAAACTCCCCGAGGGTCTGAAAGCAAACTCAAGTGTTAAAACATCCAAAAGCTTCAGAAAAAATTTTTTTCTGCAACAACAAATAAACCTAATCTTTTGAGGAATCTCCACACTGACTTCCACAGTGATTGTACCAGTCTGCACTTTCACTAACAGTGGAGAAAGGTTCCTTTTTCCCTATAACCCCTCCAGCATTTGTTACTGGTTGATTTCTTAATGACAGACATTCTTCCTTGGGTGAGATGAAATCTCAGTGTTGATTTAATCTGCATTTCTCAAATGACCAATCTGGTTTTTTGTTTTCTTTAAAATTAAAAATATTCCAAGGTGACTTAAGACTCAGGACATATGAGAACTTGTACTGTGACATCAGGTAACTCGGTAGTGTCCCAAATTTTCTGATCAAGGAGATTATGGGGCCAAAGAGGAAAGTGATCGATGATGTACAGTGTGCCTAAGGAGAGTCACCTAGAGAGAAAACATTCTCTTAGGCTTTCACAGAGAGCACATTGGCCAAGCAATGGCCATGACTCATCCACATGGCTGACACTGACAAAGGATCTACAAACTGCAGTACAGGGTCTCAGAATAAATCCTGAGGGGATTTCACTGACCTTATCAGATCCAAAAGCTACAGTTCTTTTTGCATAGGTCTTCCTTTATCTTGGTCTTAACCATCCAGCAGAAAAGTATAAAAACAAAGTATAAGAAGTAAAGCCTTGTTGTTATGATGAGCTGTAGGGGACTCAGGTCAACAATTTCTGACACTGCCAGTGAAGCAGAAGACTCAATACTATTATGGATTACTGGACTCTTTTAGAATATTTTGCTGAGTTAATACACCTATAATATTCAAATGACCAAACTAAACAAAAAAGGGATATATAAATGAATGTTCATTTTGTATCTGTGTATTCAAAATGGTTAGGATAGATATATAGGTACATTCTCTTAATGAATAGAGAGATTTGTTGTAATAGTGTTTGTAAATAGGATATCATGTCTGCATCTTTTATAGCAATTAACCACTAGGAAGAATGTATGCAATGTGTTAATTATTGAAACTGTCCTACCAATTTGGCTTGAAACTGTCTCATTGCTATTTGTTTCTCAATAAAATTATGGAAAAAAAATTAAAAAGAAAAAATATTTAACCAAAGAAGTTTCAAGTCCCAGGTGTCTCTTTTCTCCTGGCAAGCTAGGGGGCAGTTTTTGCCTCTTTTTTTTTTTCTTTTTCTGTTTTTTGAGACAAGGTGTTGCTATGCAATTCAGGCTGGCCTTGGGCTCACTCTGTGGCCTAGGCTGGTCTTGAATTTGCAATGATCCTCCTGCCTCCACCTCCCAGGAGCTGAGATGACAGGCATGCGCCACCACGCCCAGCTTGTCTAGGCTGGGGCTGTACTTGCTCAGAGAACAGAGTGCCTCTTCCTAATTTGTGCAGAAGTGCCACTTGCCAACAAAACCTTATTGGTTTAAACTGCACTTGGATGTTATGTTTTAAAATCAGTTAATTTTTAAAAATAATCCCAAGTATAATACACTAAAAATCATGATTTCTTCAATTAGTATTCAATTATTATATAACTTCAGCAAAAATTCTACATTCAGGCAGGTGTCTTTTTGAGGTAGGGTTTTGCTATGCAGTTCAGCCTGCCTTCAACTCACTTTGTAGCCCAGGATGGTCTAAAACTCATAGTAAACCTCCTGCCTCAGCATACCAAATGCTGGGACTACAGGCATGTGCCACCACATTTAGCTTGTGTTTAGAATTTTAATTCAAACACATTTTTCCTTTTCCTCTATCATCTGATGCCACTGAAATACTAGTAGACAATAAGATGCCTAAAACCCAAGAACCTAGTAATTTCGCTTTGCGTGTACCAGATGCTAAGACAGGAGGTATTTCTTTATCTGTGCATCCACACGACAGAAAGTTGTGATGTACTACAGGAGGACTAGGCCAAGAGCTGAAAGGAAAGAGATCCCAAATCTCCTAAATTCCTCAGGAGGCAGATGTTCTACAGTGTGAATCTGTACAGAGGAAAAAAGCTCTTACCCTAGTTTTCACATAAATTCAATTTGTCCTACAGAGCCATGAAGACTAGGACTTCCTATGTAAGCACATTTTACTGTTTTCCACAATGGCTTCAGAAGCCCTGCTTATACTTCTAATCCCCAAGGAATTAGTAACGCAAAAGGTGTGAGACCTTACAGTGATGAGATCTGTAAAGAACACCAGAAGCTACAATTCAAATTGAAGTCATATTCCAGAGAAGGAAGGAAAGGAGAGAAAAAGAGACAGCCAAATGAAGTAAAGTAAATAGCCTGCGTTATATAAAGGTCCAAATTCCACGGCACCACTGCTGCCCCCGACCCCCAAGGTTTCCTCTCGCACTTACTTCCAGGCCAGGGCTGGTCCTAGTCCTGGCACCGGCTCACTGGTCGAATGCAAAGCGAACTCCCGGCTCCATACTCTGACCTTGCGAGCCCCTGTGCAGGAGGCAAATCAAATGTACTTATGACATATATTGGGAAATTATAGTTTTTCAAGTACTTTCTCTATAAATAATAGTGTCATGAATTTACAAAGTCAATCAAATTAACCTTAAAAATTTGTATTCACCAAGTAAGAGGGAAGACAAGAGAGACAGTAAAGACTTGTAATTCTGTATTCTAAACTCACTTATCATCTAAAGTAGCACATCTTTACCTCCTCTGTGTAATTAATACTCTACTCAGAGCAAAACACTAACCAACCAAACAAACAACACACAAAACTTTTCATAACCTTAACCTGGTTTAACACAAAAAATTGTAATTGCCATTTATTTCCATACCTGTTTCTGGACAAACAACACTCACAGCAAAAAACTGTCCATCGCCACGCCAGGTGACTTGTGCTCTACAGTCATCCCAGGGTAAAGCAGACTCGTGCTAAACAGAGAAAGAATACTAATATTATTTGGGAGACCTTCAGTGGCCCAGAATCAAACAAACCTCAATCATTAAATATACACCTTTTTAATGAATCTGAACCCATCTAGAAAATCAATTTCCTAAGAGAATCCTCAGGAACTCTTACAAAAATCCTTCTTTGGCATAAAAGACCTACAGATCCAGGGATTAAATATACTGGGCAACCAGGTGTGGTGGCACACTCCTGTAATCCCAGCACTTGGGAGGCTGAGGCAGGAGGATCACTGCAAGTTCGAGACCAACCTGAGATACAAAGTGAGCTTAGGGGCCAGGGAGATAGCTCAGTGGAATAAGCGCTTCCCTAGCAAGTGCAAGGGTCTGAGTTCAATTCCCAGTTCCGCAAAAAAACAAAACAAAATAAAAAACCAAAGTGAGCTCAAAGCCATGCCTGAACTGCATCTCAAAACAGACAACAAAAAATAAACCTTCTGAGCTAAGAAAGGGGTAATTATATAAGGAATAAATGCTCTGTTCACTTAAATTTAACAGAATAGTTTGGTGCCATTATTGTTTAAGCTTAATAAGAAACAAGAGTATAAAGATGGGAGAGCTGGGCGTGGCAGTACACACCAGTAATCTCAGCACTTTGGGAGGCTGAGGCAAGAGAATCACAAGTTCAAGACCAGTGTTGTTATCTTAGCAATACCCTGGCTCAAAATATGAAGAAGGGAAGAAGGTGAACATGGGAGTGCCACAGAAATAGCTAGCAAGAACGAATGAGGATGAAAACATGCTGCATTCCACAAACCAGAAGAAAAAAGGTCTCTAGTGCCTTTTCCATCACAATCTGGGGCTTCTACTCCTTTGGGCACAAACCTTGGTGCGAGCCCACTTCCTCTCTCTCACACCTGTATCTATTTTGTATTAATAAATCCTACACCTCTGCCTTCACTAAGCATCCTGAGCTAAACCGTTTTTACCATTTCTCCATTCTGTCCCTTAATCTGCAAATGGTTTACTCAAGGTGTCCCACATATTTCTTAGACCACTACACACAGCTGCCAGAAAAGCGCAATGAAAACATGAAATCTGCTGCTTTGTGAAAATCTGCAATGAAACCCTGTGTCAACTGGTGTGAAGCAGGAGCAGTACCGCTGAGCTACAGGAGCACCGACTTCATACCCTTCTCCCTTCCCAACGACACAATGGATGCCTTTCTAGTCTCTCAATCCAAAGCCACAGAGGGCCTTCAGGTAGCCCCTGCTGCACCCTCTAGCTGGAAGCCGCCCCTTGGCTATGCACAGGGCTCAGCTCTTCATTTCCTCTGGGCGCAGTCAGACCGCACCTTCTTCGCATGCCCAGCCCTGATTTGCCTCACCTGTGCAGTCCAGTGCTCCTTGTCCTGCTTTACCCTCCTCCACACCATTTTTCACTACCTGGCATATATTTTGACACGTTAATGTTTGCACATGCAAATAGAAAGCACACTCTATGGCGGTAGGGATTCTGTGCCTTGCCATGTATTTAACACAAACTGACAAGTAGGTATTCAAAAAATGCTTTCAGATCAGTCAATGACCGATCTTTTTTTTTCTTTTGGTTTTTTTTTTTTAAGATGTAGTCTTGTCAGATAACCTCAGTTAACCTCAAATCTGCAGCCATTCTCCTTCTTAGGCCTCCCAAGTGCTGGAACTATAGGCACCACCACACCTGGCTAACTTTAGAAGAGAGTAAGTAAACATACAATGCAACCTCCAAGAGCACAGACAACAATGTGAGTGCTGGAGTCATACAACCAAACTATTCCCACCAGCACTTGTATTTGACCATTTCTTTGGAATCAGGGTCTCTGCACACTCCCAGCTCATCCTCCAGAGTAGCTGCAACTACAAGGCAAGAGCCACAGCACTCGGCATAATCTATGGATTTTTGTTTTGTTTTCTGAAGGTAACTGTGAACTTTCAAACCAAGACCAAGACCCAGCTATAGAAAGCCTTTAGAAAAAAAAAATAAAATCATAAATAAAAGCTAGCTTATTATTATTATAAGCTTATTATTATTATTATCATTATTATTATTATCTGGCTAACATATTAGATATCAAAATGCCTTTGTTTTCTCCATTACCTGACTCATTTTATTAATAAACATAATATTGGTACTAGTGGGCAACTCTCACTCTGATGGACAGCAGAGTAAAACATCCACTCCAGAGTGTAACCCAGTACGGCCAGCTAATTTGTTTTAAATTCTATTAGAGGGTCCCATAAAGTACCATTTTTAACAACTTAATCAGGATATAATTTATACATCAGGTTCACTCATTTGAAGAATACAATTCAGTATTTTTAAAATGTATTTTCAAAGCTGAGCTAGCCAAAAAGCTCAGCGGATTAAAGCACTTGAAAGCGCAGGGTCAGGGGTTCAATCCCCAGGCCTGCTGGGCGGGGCCCACCCCGGGGCACACTGAGATGGCAATTGAGACTGGGTGTGGTGGTGCACGCCTGTAACCCCAGCTCTTGGATGGGGCTGGGAAATTTAAAAAAAAAACAAAAAACAAAAACACAACAACAACAAACAAAGCTGAGTAACCATTACCATAATCTAAATTTTGAACATATTCATCATCTCAATAAATTCTATACCTGTTTGTAGTTCTTCCCTCCCTGCACCCACAACTCCGAGTACTGGGCAATCATTAATATATTTTCTGTCTCTACAAATTTGTCTACTCTGAGCATTTTATGTATATCTGATCAATTATATTAGAAAATTGAAATGCATTATCTTGGACCAATAAGACACTGACATTTGAGGTTTAGAACTTTCTAATCTACCAAGAAAGAAAACAAGGAGTTTCACTCCAAAGGAAAAATCATGGGACTGGGGAGATGGTTCAGTAGAATAAGCGCTTCCCTGGCAAGCACAAGAGCCTGAGTTCAATCCCCGGTTCTGGCCCCCCCCAAAGAAAACAAACAAAGGAAAAAATCAGAAGAGTTTTTAAAAAATAATACCTACACCTGTAGGAGAAAGCATGAATACATGAACATGAATGATCAGCAGTAAATGAAGGACAGTGGCTCGCTCTGGAGAAGACAAGGAAAGGCATTAGCAAGTGGTACTCAGGGTATTTCATTTCTACTTGTGATATTTTATTTCTAAACTGAGTGATAAACGTTGATTATAATTATTCTTGTCACATAAAAAAGGATCTTTGTATATTAACACATTCCCAAAGACTCTCAACACTTACAGTTCCACTAAGCAGAGAGATCTGTCCATTACTGGCCTCTAACTGGACACCTAGGCAATTCTGGTCAGTGGCAGAACTTCCATTTGTTCCAATCAAGGTTCTTTGTCCAACAAACCAAGCTTACCGTTTGCATCTGAAAGGCTGCTTGCCTGCCTTCTGATCCATGGAACTGTGTCTCCTTCTTGCCCCAGCCGACAGTGACAAACTTGCCTGAAGAACAATTGAGAATGTGCATGACAACCAATAAGCTCAGTACAATGAAATAAAAGCAGTTTCATCATTCTTTGTGAAGGCGGTTGTTGCTAATCCTTTGTGTCCCATAAGACCTCCCCATAAATCACCTAGCAGTCAATATTTTGAAAACCGGTTTTTATGGTTTGGATCTGGAATCTCACCCTGCAATCTCACGTGTCTGGAAGGTGACAGGTGCAGCGCCCACCCTGGGTTAACTCACAGACAGGCTCAAAGCTGAAGGTGCTGGGTCTGGCTCGGGGTGAGTCAGCGGTGGCGTGACTTGGCAAGGCCTATCTTCCTCCCTGGTTCCTCTCTTTCCTCTACGCTTCCTGGCCACCATGACATAAGGTGCTTTTCTCTCTGTAGGCTCTTTCACTGCGCTACTTCTGCCTTGGAGCTGGCTGAAAGTGGACTATAATGATAAGCCAACATTATTCTTTTCCTCTTTGAGTTGTGCTGTCAGGTATGTGTCCCAGTGAAAGGAAAGTAATTACCATTTTGGAAACGAGTAGTCACTGATGTGACCGTCTCATCATGTGGTTCACAAGCCTTTGGAACTGGCCTGCAGGAGGAGCTGGGAGAGTCTGGAGATGCCAGATAGAGAAGCCCTAGAATGCCATAAGCCAAGCTTGATGGAAGATGCTGGTCAGAATTCAGAAGAGCAAAATGTTCAAAAATAGCAGAAGTTACAGCAGGGAACAACAGCTGCATTGGCAGCTGGACTGAGACCACGTATATGATGCTCAGCATATATATATATTTTTTTTTTTTTTTTTTCCATTATATTCAAGTCCTCAAATTTTGTGGCAAACTGAGATTAAGGACAGGAGACTAATGTGTTGGAAGAAATTTCAAGACAATCCAATGTATGAACTACAGCATGGTTACTGCTTTTAGCAAGATTTATAGTAAAAGTAAAGTTAAATTATTTTAAAAGGGTACAGTTTCGTCAGAAAAGAAATCCTATAAAGTTGAGACCATGAAAAGAGTGGGTGCCAAAAACGTCAGCATTAACGCACAGCAGGGCTGTTAATTCATATGCCTCATTATTAGGTGGCTCTGATTTGAATTCAGTGATCACTCTGACTGAATCCAGTGATACCTGCATTCACTGAGTAGCTTGTGCTTTTATTAAGGAAGTCTTTGATTATCATAATGCTAAGAAAAGTGTTGATTTAGCATAGTAAACGTAATCATATTAGAGTTAAGGAAAATATTAAAATGGCATAAAAAAGTTACAATCCAGCTAATTTGTGGTCCAGCAGTTGTAAATGCATATTGTATGTGTCAGCAATCGGGTACTTGTAAGGCTTCCATGTTAATATTTAGAGAATTATGGGTAAACTATACGTGAATATAAATATTTTAATTTAATGAAATAAACGATTATAGTAATTTCAAAAATTATGAGTAATATAAAGTAACACATTCGAACAATATTCAAATTCAAGCAACTAACTAGATTTGGTCCATTTATAAACCTTTTATTAATTTTACTAGTAAAAAGACCAATAAAAGAAATTAGAATTATTTATACCACCAGCGGTACAAGCTGTCCAATGGATCAGTCATACATGTACCACCAGAGGCTAAGCTGGCAGGAACATGTTAAAAGGAAGCCAAGTCCTCTGCATCAGGATGGCGGAAAAGACAAATTGAAGGCCCCTCAAGAATCAGTACAACTCTACCCTTCACAGGATCAAGGGTATGAAAAGGAAAGACTGCCCTGCAAACAGTCAAGCGTACCCTACTCAAGAATGGCAGTGAGGGCGCTGGTTCCCTGGGACTCATGTCACACTGCTCAGCCCTCAGAGCACTCAGAGGCCTCCACAGTCATGATGCATGGGAGCCTGGTTACTGATGCAGTTGGTAGCAGATCTTGGCATCATCCAGGTGGTGCTGGTTTTTATGGACATGCAGATGCAAGAGTTGTAGGGTCAGGGAGGCTTCCATAGATCCCAGAAGAACGCCCAGCGGGCTAGGCAATGTGCCCCTGACATTCCATGAGGCTGTGAAAGTGAAGCTGCCAAGTGCAGTTAAGAGCCCAGGAAAATGAAGAAGGCAGGAACATCTGCTGATAAGCAAAGCCAGCCCAAGGGAGAGGTCAGAGGGCTAAAACCAGCATGCCATAGGGGCAGGGCAAAGCCATGTGGAACTCATGTTCTACCATAACTTGCCCAAGTACTATTTTAATCTTCCCCTGTTGAGTTTTGGTCTTGCTTTGGTCTCAAACCTTTTTCTATCCCCCTACTTCTACCTCCTGGAATGGAAATGTTTATCCCATGGCATTGAACATGAGCAGCATTTAATATTTAGGGCTCACACCTAAGTTGCCCTGAGTGCAAGAATGGCCTGAATTTGGACTGTTCAACAATGCTAGAAGTGTTAAAATTTTGGAGGCTCTTACTAGGGATGGACTAAATACATCTTGCATAAAGAGATACACATGAGTTTTGAGGGCCAGGGGCAAAATGTTATGGTTTGATCAAGAATGCCCCAAAACACCTGAGCTTAGGGGTAGGGCTTTTATAAGGTAACTAAATCATGAGGGTGAAATGTGATCTTAGGAGGCAGGGACTGGTGGGAGGAGGGACGTCACTGGGGGCAAGATCTCAAAGGGTGTATCCTCTCCAACCCATCCCTTTGCTCTCTGTTTCATGGCTGCCACGATCTAGGCAGCATTGCTCCACAGCAGGCCATTCCACTGTGCCGTTTCTCGGTTTGAGCTTGTCAACCATAGCTCAAAATTTCTGAATCTTGAACAAAATAAACTTTTACCTTTAAATTGTGGGTACTGGGTATTTTGTCCAGCACGAAGAAAGTGACTAAGACATCTACCTTCCATAGCATATAGTAGTCATTTGGAAGAATTTGTAATACCCATATGTTGGAGAGTGCTTTATGTCCCATTATTCTAATTGCCCTCAGTGACAAAAGTCAACAAATTCAAGGGATGGCCAGAGAGCTCACTGGATTAAAGTGCCTACTTAGGCAGATGCAGGGGTCAGGGGTTTGATCCCTGACCTGCCATGCCCGTGCTGTGCCAGACCCATCCCTGGGGTGCACTGAGACTGCGATTGAAACTGGGCATGGTGGCGCACACCTGTAATCCCAGCTCTTGGGAGGCTGAACACGGGAGGATCACTGGAGTCTCATCTACATAGTGAAACCCGGTAGACCCTTACTAAAATAAAGTAAAAATAAATTAAAAAAAAAAAAAACTTCACCCTAACCCTACAGCCAAGAAAACTGATGTATATATTTTATACATCATTTGGTATACTGCTGCTCATTAGCATATAAATGTCAATCATTTATATACTAAATGAGCAGCCCTCATTCCCCAACACTGGTTGAGCTGAGACCCAGCTCAAGTCAGCCTCCTGCGGGAGTGCCCCTCTCCAGTTCCTGCTTCCCCTTCCTTCTGCTACCCTAATACCTACACATCCTACCATTAGCGTTTCATGTGTGCTCTTTAAAGATAAAGGCACCTACTTAACCAATCCTGAATTATCCACACAACCAAACACTGCTGGGTGTATAGCACCAACTTGGAAGACATTGCTGAACATTATTTTTGAATGCTCTAAATAGCAGTTTTCTAAATTATTTCAGAGTTTGTGGAACAAGAAGGCTTCCGTTGTATCTTAGGAAAAGTTGCACTATCTTGTTTTGCAATCTTTTTCTTCAATCACGCCAGCTCCACAGTGCCTTCTACCTGGCCAGAGCCTTATATTTAATCAGCTTCTCATCTCTTCCTATTTAATTCTCCCACAGCCTTTGTACCAAAAAACCCTGGCCAAATTAAGAAAACAATCTATCAGATTGTTCCCTAGAAAATGCAGTGAATCTGGATAATAGGAACAAAAATCAGCTTTTTGTATCAACCCTCTAGTTTCTTCCTCCTTGTAACTGTGCTCCACAAATGTGCTTATTCCAGCATTATAATCCAACATGACTTTCTCCACACTTGTCAAAAAAATTATCTAGATCCCTGAGCACAGGTTTCTATTTCCAGGTTACTGACAAAGCTAACCCTCTGAGTAAATCTAGAAAAACTGGGTTAAAAATTATGCTATATAACAATTAATAAAGGAAGATTTAAACATCATAATTCTTTGGGCTTCTGTTATTAGAGCACAAGGAAATGACCAAAACTAAGGAGGAATTTCAGTACACAAAATGTTTCAAAGCTGTACTTACTTTCACCAAAATCATCCTGGTGAATTGGCTGCTCCATGATTGGTTCAAAGTCTCTTGTCATCATGATCAGAGTCTGCTGACCTTAGAAAGGCACAAATCAAAATGACTGTGAGAGTAAGTCATGATGTAACAGATCTGTCATTCCATAAGCATCCACAGCACAGTGGGCTACATAACCACAGGGAGGGAGTTATAAGAAGGACAGCACAAAGAACACAAACACAATGCTTTGCCTTTAAGAGCCAGCTAAATAGCTGAGCAGATTAAAACACCTGCAAGCAGGTGCAGGGGCTGGGGGTTGGGTCTCCAAGCTTTCCGTGCCGGTCCTACCCCCGTGGCATGCTGAGATGACGATTGAGACTGGACATAGTGGTGCATGCCTGTAATCCCAGCTCTTGGAAGGCTGTAAACAGGTGGATCACTATGAGTCTGATCAGTAGTGAGACCCTGTACACCCTGCAGACCATTCCCTAAAAATATAAAAACACACAAAATGTTTTTGCCTTTAAAAAAAAAAAGCTTTGGGCCGGTCAAATAGTTCAGCAGATTAAAGCGCCTGCTTAGGCAGATGCAGGGGCCAGGGATTTGATCCCCAGTGTGCTGTGCCAGCCCCGCCCCCGGGGCACGCTGAGACCGCGATTGAGTCTGGGCATGGTGGCGCGTGCCTGCAATCCCAGCACTTGGGAGGCTGTAAACAGGAGGATCACTATGAGTCCGATATACACAGTGATACTGTACACCATCCTAAATACGAAAAAAAAAAAAAGCTTTGACTGGGTAAGTGACCTGGTACTTATTCTCAGCTAATGTCAATGTTCACTTACTCCTGCACTAATTCAACAGTTCTAGTTTCTAAGACATCTTTTCAAACATGTACCTCTGCAGGGGTGCTGGTTTACTAAACTCATCTGGAATGTGGACCCTCAAAGAAGAAAAAAAAGGGACTACAAGAAACGTTTGTAGAATCTGTTTACATAGTAAATCCTGCTCTAAGTATAGGCAAGACAAATACAACTAACATTTTAAAACTTCAATTATGGGATTAGCAGCCTCCTTAAATTGTATGACTTATTTTCCAGTCCCTAAAACTGGGAAAGTTATGCCAAACAACTTTATGTAGAGGTAAAAGTGAAGTCAGAAACAGCATATTCTACATTATAATGCTACTTTCACTGTTCAAGGAAATCTTTTGAAGCTTGAGCACCCTGTAAGACATTAAGAGTAAAGTTTTACAAAAGCAAGATGGACACTAGTGACAAGCTTACCTGTGGCAAGAAGCACCAGCTCTTGGTCAGGACTCCAGCTCATGACAGAGATGCCACTGGCCACACTCCCAACACATTCCAGCTATTACAAAGAAAACAGGAAAGTTCAAAACTGTGTCATAATGAAGATTCACTATCAAAATAATAAAAAACCGATATGCATAAGTAAATTTATGCAAAAAAACTCATCTTCAGTAACAGGGACTTAGAAAGTAGACTCCTAGGCACCTGAATCAGAATGGACAGACACCCCATTCTTCCCAACACTGTCTCCTGAGGGAGATAAAATCATGAGCCCACAGCAGTATGAGTGCTGTAACTGAAGTCTTCAGGGAGTATAGGAAGGCTTGTGGGTTAGCTCCATTGTTTAAGCATCTATGGTTCAATCCCCAGCACCACATGCCGCACCAGACCTGCCCTTAAGGCAGCCTGAGCCAGCCATTAAAAAGAAAAAAAAAAAAAAAAGAATCCTTCAGGGAATACAGTGGATCTCATAGCAGGACATATCAAGTAGCTTGGGAAGTCCAAGAAAGTTTTTCCATGAGTACATTTCAAATAGTGAGAACCGAGCCATGAAAGAAAAAAATCAGGAAGAAAAAAAGTGCTGAGGCACAAAAGCATACGAAAGTGTTAAAATTCAGCTGCAGCTAGCCCATGTGTTCGTGCACAGGATGATGGAGGGAGGAAGCTGAAAGGTAATCTGCTGAGCAGATAGCTAAAGGGCGAACAAAGCAAGAAGGAATGTGAATGCTGTCTTCCAGATAGCCGAGAAGCCACGAGGGGGCAGGATCAGCACCATAAGTGGAGGTAAATGAACTGGATGAGTTCAGTAGCCAGGAAAAAATGCTTTAAAACTAAATACTTATCTAAGGTTTACTAATGCATTAAATGGAATGATTAAAAATGAAGGTATTAAGAGTATGAGAGTTCAAAACTTCATCTGATAACTGTGTGACCTTGCCTAGTTAACTCAATTTCCTCTTTGAAGAATGAGAAACAACAGCCTATTTTACAAGGACACAATGAGGAATAAATAAAATTTTGCCTAAAGAGCACATCAAAAGTACCTGGCACACTGAAAACAATAAACATAAGTTGCTATTGCAAGTTCACTATTAACACAATATAACTCCTCTGACATGATCAGTGTTAAAGTGACACAAGGAATTCAATAATCAAAGAAGATTTTACAAGAATTGGACAACTGCAACTTAAACCCTCATGATCAAAAAGGTCAGGCTGGAAATTCAGAAATTCAACACTACATTTGAGGAAGAAAGAAGAAGACAGCTAAAACCCATCTCACCTAGTTGTCTTAAAACACGACTGCAAAGACATTGCATTGCTTTTTGTGCCTATATTTGGTTGAAGGAATACGAATAGCTAATCAGCATTCCTAACAAAAAGCATAAGCCACATAGACATTTCAAAGATTTCCTAAATTGAGAAATGAAGATCATAAACCAGAAATGAAGATTATTATCTGTAGATACCAAGAAACCTACACTACATTAACAATAGACAGTTTTTATTTAAGTTCTAACTTTTAATGCCCCAATTAGTCTGATTAACAGGGTATAGTAAACAAAACTGAGGTTTTAAAAAACTCCTGAAATATACTTAAAGCCATGCCAAAATTTAATTTAAAAATATACACTATAGAGATAATTTATAAAAATTGAAATATTATGGCAACAGATTAGAAACTTTCAGGGGCTGGGGAGATGGCTCAGTGGAATAAGCGCTTCCCTGGCAAGCACAAGGGCCTGAGTTCAATCGCCGGTTTCGTGAAAAAGAGAAACTTTAAACACAAAATAAATAGCTGGATTGGATTGAGAATCCTTGAGATACTCTCCTCACCAGACTCAACTACTTACCTGGTGTGTGCTGAGATTGCAGAGAAGGACATCTCCAGAGGCTGTGGCCACACACACAGACTCTTGATCCAGCAAGTCCTGAACACCAACAATGCAGCCACTTCCATCCTCTGGAAGAAAGCCTTCTGCCACCAAAGAAATTTCAGTTTTCACCTTTAACCAAAGCAAACAGGTAATCAAGTTAACTTAGTTACTTTAAAAATACTATTTCTAAGAATAAACATCTTCTAAAGTTTTTTATAACATAAAACTTTTAAAATGTTTTTTCTAGATTAAATACCAGGGTTTCATTCAAAACATATTACAACTCTCATATTTTTAAGAAAAAAAACAAACAAGTGTTGGGTGTAGTGGTGCACATCTGTGAACTCAGCACGTGGAAGCTCAGGAAGGAGGGTCACTGTGAGTTTGATATCAGCTGGAGCTACATACTGAATTTAAGGTCAGTCTGAACTGACCGACCCTGATAGCAAGACACTGTCTCAAAAAATAAGACAAAGCACAAACAAGTAATGTGATCCTTTTGCCAAGCACAAAACAAACAAAATTTATAATAAATACAGTCTCTTTAAAAATATCTATTAAGTCATAAAGCTGATGATTAGTTTTACTTCTGTAGTGCTACAGAACAAACTCAAGGACTCTACCCTACTGAGTATGTGTTCTATTACTGAGCCATACCTCCAGTCTCATAACTGTCATTTTCTATAATATAGGGGAAAGATAATAAAATGCAATCACCTAAAGCACTTAATGGCAAAATATAATCAAGGGATTATATCAAAATCACCACACAGCACTTTTAGAAACATGCATGATCATACCACCTCTAAAGATTGGTTATTTAACTAGTACGGGTCAGGGATCCAAACATTAAAAAGCTCTGGGGGCACAGGTTAGTGGTAGTGTGGATGCTTAACACACGTAAGGCCTTCCATTCAAACCTGGCACCATAAAAAATCCCATCTGTAAAGCTCCCCGGTCAATTTCCATGTGCATTCCTAGTTGAGAACCACTGCTGTAAATAGGACTACATTGTACAAAGGATAAAAGATCACCAATATAAGGTCATAGCTGGGTATGGCGGCGCACCCTATAACCCCAGCACTCAGAAGGCTGAGAAAGGACGATTGCCACAAGTTCAGCCCAGCTTAGGGTACACATTGAGATCAAGGGCAACCTGAACTGAGTATCAAGATCCTGTCTCAAAACAACAAAATAAAATATATGCATATGTTCAGAGCTGTGTCAACTTAGCTTACAGTAGATCTGAAGGCAGGATATGAATTAACCTTATTTAGTTAACGTTCTATGTAAAGCAAAGAGAATGTTTAGAGAAATATAAATATAAGACATAAAGGAAGACTGCTTGGGAAGAAAAAATTTGGAAGAACATAAGGGTCATGCCAACTGCTAGCATCCTCCACAGCAATAACTTACTTCTCTTGTGACAGGATTTACTTCTATCAGCCCACATTCTGAACCAATGAGGACTGTACTCTGTTCAATTCGGAGACAGAAGCACTGAGGTTTCCCTGGTGCTGGAATATCCTTGAACTCCAGAGTCTGAACCAACTTTAGATTTCTCATGATGAGGCAATTCTGAGAGAGACGTACAACTTTCCTTCAGTGAACCATTAATACCTAAAAGAGAAAGGACAGCTTACTGATAATTGACTATTCTCATATAAAACAGGAATGCATGGGGTTGAAAAGTCAGTAAAATAACCAAGAAAAAAACCTACTTATCTGAACACATATTTATATGCAGATACAGCAACCTGATGTACAAACTGGGAGTTCTGCAATGTACTTTATGCTCTCGCTATTGTAGGAGAGGCGAGAGTCTCAACTTGAGAGATTTGGTGAAAAATATTATTTTTCCACAAGAAAGTTGAAAAGAACAAAATGAACAGAAATCATTTTATTTTGGATATCAGGATATATTTTTAAATTGACAGATATATACCACCATAAGAAAAATTAAAGATACTATTCCAATGACTTGAATTATATAAAAATATCCGAATATATAGACTGGCAGCTAATAAAAATCTGGAATTAAATGACTTTCTAATCTACCAAGTACATTTATTGAAAACTAGCTTTACAGTACACTCACAAAACAAATCAAAAATAGAAATAAAAGCATTTATTGTTCTCAAAGGAAAAAGACTGAAATAGTTCATTTTAAAATGACAAATACTTTTTTTTTTTTTGACACCAGAAATCGAACTCAGGACCTTGCTCCTGCCAGGCAGGCACTGTGCTGATGAGGTATCTCCCCAGGCCTTAAAATGATGACCAACACTCTGAAAACACTGATGACCTGATATAACTACTTCATTCCCCTGGCAAAGTTTTTATATAGTAGAAAGGGTGAGAAAAGAATGTTAGGAAGGACATATACTTTGGTCTGACAAAATCAAGACTTGTTTTTTAAAGCAGAACATTATCTAGGAAAAAAATAGTTATGTGCTACATACAGTCTGAGCCCTTTAAGGTCATTATGGAAGTCTCTAACTTTTGGGGGGGTCAATTACACAGGTCATAATGGTCATATTGTCACTGCAATACAGGATAAATTTTCTCATCCTGGCAGAGATGAAAAATGAATCAATAATCCTTACAGTGCACAGAAAACAATGTCAAGTGTAACAGTAATGGTGCAACATAACATGGGTTGAGAGGCAGGCAAGAGGCTGGGCATGTGGTGCACAAGCATGCAATCACCTGAGAAGCTAAGGCAGAAGGATCATTATCAGTTCAAACCCACCCTGATCTACACAACAAGACTCTTGTCTCAAAAATAGAACAGTATGGGCTGCAGAGATAGCTCAGCGGTCTAAGCATTTGTCTGGCAAGCACAAGGACCTGAGTTCGATCCCCGGTGCTGCATACCCTGCCCCGAAACTGGGCATGGTAGTGCATGCCTATAATCCCAGTGTTGGGGAAGCTGAGGCAGAAAGATCATTACAAGTCTGAACTGCATAGCAAGTTCAAGCCTCTGTATTGGATAAATAAATAAAAATTTAAAAAAGGCAAGATTATACAAAGTGAGAGTAAGAAAATCAAGGCAAATAATTTTATCAAGTTTTGGTGACAGAATATTTGTCTTTTTTTTTTTTTTTTGGTGGAACCGAGGATTGAACTCAGGCCTTGCACTTATTCTACTGAGCCATCTCCCCCGCCCCCGGTGACAATATTTCAGAAATTCTGGAAACTATCTGAACCAAATTATACCATACCAGGTTTTTAATTTACATGCAATTCAACATACACAGTTTGGGTTTTTCTAATCATATAAAAATGCATGTCTTTCATCTTTATAAGACCACAGACATCCTGAAAGATTTGAAATGGGGGAACAGCAAAAGGAGTAAGCAAGTTTGAGTAGAAACAATGAGGACAAACACAGGGCCAGCCGTCTAGCTTCCTCATGATTTTTCACACTGCTTTATGTAACAATCATGCTGTCTGCTGTGAAAGGCCTAAGTTTCAACACTGCTGCACTGGGGATTAAGTTTCCAAACATAAACTTTAGGGGCACATCCAAACCACAGCACATGCTGTCATTGCTGTGCTGTTCAGATCAGCTAATCAGCCTCCATTTCTCTCCCTGTTAATTTGAATTCGACTCACCAAGACCTGTGCAGCCCTGGAATCCACAGATGCCAGGACAGGAACATGGGAGAGTAAAGGCAAAAGGAAGAGCGTCCTTCCTTTCCATTTTCTGGCTGTTCCTCTCGCTGTCACACGAGTGGGTCTTTCCAAAGGCCCTCCCACTCACTCTGCAGTGCTTCCATGACCACCCAACACCTCAGCTCCCAGTGGCAGGTACATCAAACACGACCCATGCCAAACATCTAAAATCCAGCCTTTTGGGTCTCACTTTCTCAATTCCTGACCGCTCAGCCCTAAAGTCTGAATACCAGCTGTACAGTGCCCTTCTTCCAAGGCTTAGGTCCCAATAATCCCAACATCTTCCTTTGTTTTTGCCCCAACTCTAGCTACACTTTGTAGCTGTTTCCACTTGCCTTCTATATTATTGCAATGCCGCTTTGACCTGTTGTTCTTACAACAGTTAAATAACCAATTCTTCATATTAAACCCTTTTGAAGTACTATGTGCTTTCTACATTTCTCACAGGGCCCTGACTGATAAACACAGAAAAAATCTGAATTCTCAAATCACTGTTTTCTGAGTTCATTAGCCGGCCAAGGTGAGCTTATTAATTTCTCTTGCACTCTAAAAGCTTTAGCCTGAAAACTAACTTCTCTCAATTTTCATACCCATCAGCTTTACTTTCTTAACTACTCAAACACAGATGTCTCCACTTCTTTCAATAGGAAAATTTCCTCCAAACTCCCCTTGGACCTTGGCCTGTTCATATCCTGACATCTACAATCTCCAACTCTCCTTCCCTCAAATAAGCTATAGACCCTCCACATCATGGTCAAGCCTAGATCATCTAATTTTCTGCCACCTCCTCCTTTTTCTTCCCTTACTCATTTTTCCACTTCAGGGCTAATCATCATGCCCACGACAAGCACCAAACAGGTCACTAATATGGTGATCAGACACAATAAATGTCTAGCCTTAAATAAAGTACTGCAGTCCCAACCGAACATTCAAACCCACACTGACAATTTTCCAATGTTATCACAAGTTTTTCTCACGAGTACCGCAAACGCAATCTGAAATACGAAGAACTTGCTTTTCTCCATTAAAAACAATTCATTCTACTTTGGGACCTGGAATTTTTCACTTTGTCCCTAAGCTAAAAACTGTCTTTTGCATACTTTCCTGCTGGTTACTTCCAAGGTCGTCAATATACAGTGGAACCTCGCATGGATTCCCGAGGACTAACTGATCCGTCTTCAGCAGTATTATCTACCTTCTGCAAGAAATCCAGAGTCTCGGTTAAGGGCAGCTGGAGGAGCAGCCTGTGACCCTGGGGGTGCGGCGCCCCAAGGCACCCTGGCCGGGATGCGGGTGGAGCTGGGGACAAGTCTGCAGAAAGGATTTAAGGCTCGAAGGAAGAGGTGCTGCACCCCGACGGTCTACTCTGCCCGCAGCAGGCAGCGGAGCCTCGGGATCGCACACTCCGGGACACCTCTGCGCAGACTGGGCCCGGCCCGGCCCCCAACTCCAGGCGGGTGGCACGAACGCTCACCAGAGCGGCGCCGAGCTCCCCAGACAGCAATAGGTCCGCCCTCACCGTCGCCTCCGCGCACGGCCCGCCTCCAGGAGTCCGCCGGAGACTCAGGGCGCGCCTCTCCGCCTAGACGCCGCAGCGCTCACAGCGCTTCCTGGCACAGAGCCCAGCGCACGCGGGAACGCACGCACCGCGGCGCCGAGGGGAGCGCGCGAGCGGGACGCAGCGGCGCGGCCGTGACGTCACTCAGCGCGGGGCGTGGCCGGGCGCCCGCGACCCCCGCCAGGCCTTTTCTGCAGCCCCAGCAATGTGGGGGTAGAGGGGCTGCGCTGACCGCTCTCCCCGCTCCCTCTGTCCTTCGCTCACCCTGCTGTGTTTGCTCCCCCAGTTTGCCGTGCAACCACGAAGCTTAGTGATTAGCGGCGGTGGGCGGGGCCTGCGGGCAGGAAGCAGCGCGCGTGCACAGGACGCCAGCCGCGCGCCGGAAGGTTCGCCTCCCAGTCGCGTGCGCAGAGCGGAAGCGCCCGGGCCTGGCGGGCGGCGGGGCGCGGGAGGTCTCCATGGCTACCGAGCCCGCGGCCGCGGGGCCCGCCGCTCCCTCGCTGGTGGATCGGTACTTCACTCGCTGGTACAAAGCTGGTAAGTGGGAATGGTGGCGCTCGCGTGCCGCATTTGCTTGCTGATCCTGACTTACTGTGGCAGAGGAAAAGCCCCGCGAGCTCTTCTCCGCGTCAGAGGGCAATCCCCGCGGCGAGAAGAACGGCGTTTGCAAAGACTTAGAGGCCTGCAGCACGGCGGGGCGCCTTCCGGGGTTGGCGAGGAGTGCAGCGTGGGCTGCAGTGTCCTTTGCCTGCGGAAGATGAGCGACGCGCACAGGGGACAGTGACCCTCCTGGAGCGTCTGGAGGGATGTCATGGGATAAGTCCTATGGAGGCTAGCCACCTGAAGTGTGAGATAGTAGGGACGGGCAGGGGGTTGCTTTTCACGTAGGGACATGGGAAAGTGAAATTGTACCTAAAGGAAAAGCCTCCAGTGTAGTCCATTTGCCATTTAGAAGACAGCGTTCTTCTTGTGCTGTTTTGTCTATCGAAAGTCGCAGTGGCAGGAGCATTGGCGATTCCTCTAAGGCGGCTTTCTCCCTTTCAGGGGTAATGGCTGTACCCTTTTGTTCTCTCATACTGCAGCATATTTTTCTGTTGGCCACATGTAGGGTAGCGAGCCATCCTGGTTCCCCCAGCACTGAGGGGTTTCCCAGAATGTGGCTTCCCATGCTCACGTCAGGACAGCCACCAAAACTTCGTGTACTATAAATACAACTGCAGTACTAACCGCTTTTTTCTTACATAAATAAAACATCTCATTTTAAACCAAGAATAAAGTAACCTGGAGCAAAGACGCAGTCACCTTTGTGTTGAACAAATAAATCTCAGTCAAATCTGTTTACATACTTCATAGTAAGCCTTTAGTTTTTCAAGTAAGGAACAGTTATCTGTGATAGCAGTATGAACTTGATCTTCGTAATTATATGTGAACCAGAGAAAGTACCACGTTGTTGTAGTAAATATCGCTTCAATAACCAACTGACTCATTTATTATTGTAGATGTCAAAGGAAAACCTTGTGAGGACCACTGTGTACTACAACACTCTAACCGGTAAGCAAAATAGGAATTTTCAAATTGTGAGCTTTTTTTCTGCTATTTGGTCTATATGGTCTCATATTGAACAAAACTTCAGTAAATACATATTCATTAAATGATCCACCATTCTATTGAAATGGTTTTATTATAGGAGTTTACATGGCAGGAGTGAATCTTCCAGTGCCTAACTACTCTGAGCAAGTCAGCTGGCTTACCCAAGCATCCAGATGGAAGACCATTTCCTCAGTCTTCTGCTACCTAAATAACCAGCCTATACCTAATGACTGAACTACCAGAGCCAAGACCACAGTAGATACATTTTTGGTGTCCTATACACACTGGCATCCTTTCTGTCCCTTCTACCCAGGTGCTACCTAAAGGCTTCTGGTACTCTTTCTTTTCCCAGGAAGGCAATTCAATGCTATTTTATTTCATTATTATATTCCCTATGATACAGTTAGGCTTCAGAGGAAAAAGAAAAAGAGAGGGAGTTTGACTAAACGAATGTCAGTTCAGGTATTCTTATACCAATAGGAATACTGTGTTATAAAAGGAAGAATTCTACCAAGCAGTAACACAGCTTCATTTTCCTTCTTGTAGAATATGTGTCATCACGTTGGCAGAATCTCATCCAGTTCTTAAAAGTGGAAAAACGATTAAAAGTATTTCCTATCAGATCAGCACCAACTGTAGCCGACTTCAGAACAAGGTTTCCGGGAAATTCAAGCGCGTATGTACTTGTTTTTCTATGATTTTTACTAAAATCCTTTATGGGCATAGATTGGATAGATCCAGTGAGCTTTAAGACCAGTAATGTCCCCGGAACCAGGTGTGGTGGCTCATGCCTGTAATCCTGGTACTGGGGAGGTTGAGACAGGCGGATCACTGAGTTCAGCCTGGAGAGTACAAAAGTGAGCACAAGGCCTGCCCGAGCTGCATAGTGAGACCCTGTGTCAAAAATTAAAAAAGACCAGTAATGTATGTTCAGCATATGTGTGTAGCAGTTTTTTCTGGTGTTTTTCCCCCCACTAATATTTTAACCCTAAAGAAATTCGTAGGCCAAAATAAAATGAGATACTTCACAAGGTAGCTATCTGTCATGTTAGGTTCTGCAGCACTCCCAGGACGGGGGAGGGGAAAGGAGGCCTGTGAATGGAGAACTCTACCTATATAAAAGATACTTTGTTTTTGTGGTTTTACTAACCTGGTATCTCATGTGCCATAAAATTTAGGTGACCAGCTATTCTTTACATGTGAAAAAATGTTACATTTTTTCACATGTAAATTAAAAAGAAACATCCTAAGAAATAACATCAATCTGAGAAAATACGTACTATTTGCTCCTACCATTTGTCTAAAAGGAAAACACTGCCACTCAGTGTTTATCCACGTGGTCTACTTCCACACAATGGTTAGTTACACAAAATGTTATCTTTATCCTCTGTAATTCTAGGCAAGAGGACATGTTATCAAAAGAAGGTATCACTTTAGTTGAAAAGGTATCACTTTAGTTGAACTAAAGGTCACTTTAGTTACATATTAAGTATCCTGACAAACTCAGTGGGTTGGGAAAATTCCTATGGATAATTTTGGTTATTTAATGAGTTCATCCCTAAGACTTTCTGTTAATCATGCTTACTGTTCCAGTAGACCCCAATCACGTGCCTTGCAAGTACTGATTCTCCTCGCTTAGGAAATAAATGGATTTAGAGAAGCATGCACCTTTCTTAAAAGATAACAGTCTACAAACTGTAACAGTGATGCCCAACCTTTTAAAGCTCTCAGTTGCAACAGCTAGTTGCAGCAGGCTAGTCTCAGATTCACTGTCACTGAATTTAGTAACAGCTGGTGCTTATGAATCTCTTGTAATAAATCAATTTCCAAAATAGTAATAGTACATTTACTAACAAATAAGAGAAAGGGATCTACCTTAAGTGTCTATCAGAGAAGTTTTGATAGGCTCTTGGAACTTATTCTCCCAAGCTAAGTGATTAGAAAAGAAAGAATTTAAAAAGCATTTTTGGTGGTGGTATTGGGGGTTGTTCCCAGGGAGCACCCCTAACCCATTTTGAAATATGGTCTCACAAACTTGCTCAAGTTAAAAAAAAAAAAAAAAAAAGTTGCTCAGCTTGTGCTCCTCCTTCCTGAGCCTCCCGAGTAGCTGGGATTACGAGTAGCTGGGATTACGGCATGTACCACAGTGCCTGGTTCACCTCTGCTATTTTAACAGGGATCCAGGTGTAAACACTGAGACAAACCCTCTCCTTGTTTCCTTCCCAAAGTACCAAATGCAGAAGAGTGAAGCCAAAGTGGTAATATCCGAATGCCATTTCATAGTGTTTTATATGGCAAGCAAAGAAGTAAAAGAATAGATTAACTGCAAGTGCCTATGTTCACTACAGGAAAGTTCTTGGGCGGTGTCTAAGACATGTCTGCCTCAGCTTTCATGAGCCTTCTTTAGAGAGATTTGTGAGAACCTTCCCAAATGCACCCATCTGTGGAGCACATAAACAGCAACTATATCATAATATCTGAAGAGATGCATCAAAATGTCGTACAGATGGGCTATGGATAATGGGGGAATTACTTTTATTTTGCTGCTTAGAATTTTGCAGTTTGCCAGATTGTCTCCAAGGACATGACTTTGTTTTTATATTAGAAAAATAGCCTCCCTTGAAAAAACTTACTAACTGATCCAGATAAAGAAATTCCTTTTATCTGTTAAGTAAGGTAGGAATCAAATATAAAAGCTAGCAGTCTTACTGAAATTTGGCAGTGTTGTCATACTGTAATTATGAGATTTATATTACTATTTGTTGGTAAATTTTCCTGCACTTTGAAATAAGTATACCTAACTATATCTGGCTTTCTTATTTAGTTAAAAAATATTACCAGTCTGTAACCAAACTGCCCATATGCAGCTATTTTTCCTATAATGTAAGGTGGTACCTAGTAAATAGCACTTACATCTACTTGAGCATATGCAAAATTTCTGAGTGTTTAATCATTTTTATTTAAGACACCAATTCCAGCAATAGATCCTATGGTTGCCTCTCAAAGGCAAATGGGAATGTGTATCAATTATTTCTTCCTTCTCATTACCCAGGGGGCACAGTTTCTAACAGAACTTGCACCTTTGTGTAAGATTTACTGTTCAGATGGAGAAGAATATACTATATCTAGGTAAGTAACTTTTTAGCTACCATTTAGGAAGACAGTAACTTAATCTCAAATGCCTATTTTCACTAAAGGAAAAATTCCTGTAAAAATAATTTTTTCTTAAAAACAATTCTTTTCACATAGCTGTGTTAGAGGACGGTTGATGGAAGTAAATGAAAACATTCTTCATAAGCCATCTATTCTTCAAGAAAAGGTAAGAGAGAGGGGCAAACAGCATGATCTGATCCTGTGCCTCTTTTCAGATTTTTTTATTATTTGATCGATTAGTCTGTTTCTTTTTCAGCCATCCACTGAGGGCTACATTGCAGTTGTGTTACCCAAATTTGAGGAAAGTAAAAGCATAACGGAGGGTTTATTGACACAAAAACAGTATGAAGAAGTCCTGGAGAAGCGCACTGGTGGCACAACAGGTGCTTCATGAGGACCGAGGTTCATACCCTCCCTGACTTCAGCCGTGTTGAGAGCACTGAAGAACCAGCCTGTGAGGTGCCCTGCACATCCAGCCATCAGCAGAGGACTTGCTGTTCATTCAACGTATTTTCCCTCTTTGTCTTTATTTTATTTTTTGGCAGAACCAGGGATTGAACTCAGACTCTTGCACTTCCCCCTTTGTTTTACATCACAAGTCCACTGTCTTTAGCTCCCAGACCTGTTTAGCGCCCAGACCTGTCTGCCCAGGTGTTCCCTCTGTTCTTTTACTTCTAACATTTGGCAAATAAGGAATTTTTTTCTGATTAAAAACAAGCATGTGGGGGCCGGCCAGATAGCTTAGCACATTAAAGCACCTGCAAACAGGTGCAGGAGCTGGGGGTTTGATTCCTCAGCCTATCATGCCAGCCCTGCCCCTTGGGGTGCACTGAAATGGCAGTTGAGACTGGGTGTGGTGGCACACACCTGTAATCCCAGCTCTTGGGAGGCTGTAAGCAGGTGGATCACTGAGTGTTCATTGAGACCCTGTAGACCCTTCCCTAATATACAAAAAAAAAAGCATGTGAGGGCCAGCCAGCCAGCTCAGTGGACTAAAGTGCCTGCTTAGGCATAGCACAGGTACCGGGGTTTGATCCCTGGCACCAAAAATTGTGCCGGCCCCACTCTTGGGGCACACTGAGACCCAACAGAGTGGGCATGGTGGCATGGACTTAAAATTCCAGTGCTTGAGAGGTTGAAAACAGGAGGATCACTATGAGTCCTGATCTATGTAGTGAGACCCTGTCGACTCTGTACTAAATACATTTAAAAAAAAAATTAACCAAGCACATGTTAGCCAAGTAGGTGCAGGCTTGTAATCTTAGCTGCTTGGGAGGCTGAAGCAGGAGGATTACAGGTTGGAGGCCAGTCCGGGCAACTTGGCTAAATACTATCTCAAAATAAAAAAAGCTGTACACAGGATACAGCACTTCAAACTCCAGTACTGCAGGGGGCTGGGGCTAAGTGGCCTTTCTTACCCAGTCTGTGTTAGTGTGACACTGCTAAAAAGTAGCGTTACTTCCACATCAGATCCTCTTCCTAGCTTGTAGATGAGATGCAGAAATACAACATGAGCCCTGTCTCCTGATTGTCAGTAGACCCCTCTGAAACAACATAGAACTATAACACTTGACTGGTTAATGAGAAATGAAAAGGGTTTGGAAAAAACCAGGCTTTTCTAGCAAATGCAGGTGTTATAATAATGCAGGGTTAAGCTGGTCCCAGCAAATATGTTGTAGTCATTCAGTCTCAAACATTCTAGTTAAAAGTTTACTTCTAGCAAAGAGGTTACTGGAGAATATGTCACTCGGAGGCACAGATGCCTTGGAACAGAACAAAGATGGTCACATTGTTTAAACCAAAACAGTTTGTGGCTTAATATTAAATACATTCGAATTTCAACTTACAGGATTTTAAATCTTGTGTCTTTTTTCCCTGAAGAGTTCAACACATATATAGATTTAAATATTGTCTTTATTTAAAATAGTTTCATGCAGAAGAATTTACTTGATGTATAAATTCCCTTGGCTCCTTTTGTTGTGTTGTTCAAGTCACGTTATCCCTTCCCCTCATGCACATGTGCTTTCACAGGTGTATAAAAGTCTGCTGCAAATAAAACCCTAAAATTATGTTTGGTGCTTACAAAATTCTAAAGAGTTCAAGTGACAGGATGACTGTTCCCTAAATATACCCACCATACATGACACAGATCGAACCAAACTGATGATGCCAACCTGAAAATGTGGGCACAAACTAGTCGATCTCTTAAGTAGCACAGTGATTCCTAAGACTTCATGTAAAATGATAGTAAGAAATCTATAACATTTCTTCACTTCATTCTCTCAGTATTTTTATTCTGTAATTTAAGAGTATTTTGATGTCACAGAATGAAAATTATGCTTGATTTTACAGTTCAACAAAGTGTTTTATAAAGGTCATTAGCCAAGCTGTGTGCATCTTATTTTCTTCCAGAAGACAACAAAACATGGACTAATTGGTAGCACCATTCTTCATGGGGCTTTGATGAACAATGATTTTGTGGGTGACCCAGATAAAGATCATCCGAGCAGCTAAGGTTTCCACTGTCATTTGGCAACTGATGGATATGACTGATTTCAAAGTGAATCTCAAAGTATTAGGGCACACTGACATACTAGAACAGAGTAAACCTCACCCTTCCATCAAAACCTCACCCCATAAACACTTTAAACCATAAAGTTTAAAAGACTAAAGATGTTTATTTGTTTTATAATGAACATTCCAATGCCACACATATAAAGTACATCATCAGGAATTTAATCAGCCCTTGGTTTCAATATTCTGTCTGTATTTGCCATTTCATCAATACTGAGGAGAGTTCAGAAGTGTTTAAAGCAGTAACAAGTAACAAAGGCTTAGGATTCTAACACTAGGACCAGTTGGCCAGCTATTGAAGAGTTAAAATGGGAGAGCCATTTTTCTTCTCCAGAAGTTGCTTCAGGATTCTGTTGCCTTGCTTCAGACAGGAGGAGAGTGACACACAAAGCCTCACAAGGGACCTGTCTTACATGAAATGTCTGCTGGAAAACACTGGTGCTAGCATGGTCATGGGATCTGAGGAGTTCTTCCACGGGCAGAGGGATTGCAGAGTCCACAAGGTTAAGAAAAACACTGTGTTCAAACTACTGTATGTTTTCTGCTGAAATTTTCTAAATGATAAGCATAAATAAAATAGTGATACGCCAGAGTTGAGCATGTTCAGAATAGCTTCTTTGGATGCTGCTGTCAATAAGACAGTCGGGATATTTGGTTTATCTTTTAAAGAACATTATTAGTACAGTGCTCCTTTTTAAAATCACACTGCAATTAGAATTCTAGCAACGCCCATGGCATTTGTTAGTTGACAACTTCCCATTCTGAAGATCACACAAGCAGTGTTTTCTTTATAGAACTGTTAAATTTTTGCAAATGTAAAATATTATTTGCTTCCTTAAAATCCCAGTTTTGCCACGATGATCCAGAGGTCTGACCCCAACAGCTTCTCAGGTTTTACTGTCCGTGGCATCTCTGTTTGTAACTGAGACCCATCTGCTATTTTCTATCTGAAGCTGGAAAGAGTTAAGACAATGAGATGCTGCTTTGCTCTGAATAAAAAAAGATTCATAAATACTTTTCTGTACACTAATAAAAAATGAGTTTAAGATAGAAAAACAACCTCACCTTCTTCTGCAGTTTGTAGCACAGTGAGAGCAGCTGGACCAACAGAGCCATCATGGATCTGGTCTTTGTAATACACTTATCAACCTAAAGCAACAGAAAGCATGCAAATCGCACTCTGCAAGTAGCCCTTTAACAAGCTTTTCCATTTATTTGTTTTTGAATATTTGATTTCCCCGTCATGGCACTCAGAGAACATCAAGGGTAAAAATATAGGCACATGAGATGACTAACCCCAGACAGACATGGGGCCAGGTCACTGCCCACAGACGAGGTAGTGGCAGGAAAGGCCCTAGTCTGTGGTTCCTTGCACTCTGCACCACTCCTTCGGAACTGGGAGCCCAGAAGAGGTGTTTGTGCCTCAGGCAGGCAGTGCCTTAAGGATTTCAGGGTAGCTGCTCACTACTTGGGAATTAATCTATCCAAAAAGCTAATTTGAGGGCTGGGGATTTGGCTGAGTGGTAGAATGCTTGCCTGGCAAGCTGGATTCCCTGGGTTTGGTCCTCGGCACCAAAAACAAAACAAAAAGCTAATTTTGGTTTACCCGCTGTTCCCTGCAGTTGGTTATAAAGCAGATAATAAATGATCCTGGCAGTTAAGGCATGAAAATTAAACTGACCTATAAATATTTACACTGTCGTCCCCCCTCTCCCCAGCAGCTGGTGCTAACCTGATAAGGACAGAAGTCTGCAAGCTTCTCACAAACCTTTATTTTGATAATCAGTACATTGTACATTGTTATCTTCTTAGTGGTTATCCATAGTACAAGAAGCAGACTCACATACCTTTAGAAATACTTTATTCTGCAAAGATGTTTTAGCTACTGTCTGGAGCTGGTGACATAGTGGAATTAGCTTGTTTATTTCCAGGAGAAGCATAAGCTTGTCATCATCTTTCAGCTGAAATGTAATTTAGGAAGTTATAAGAACTTCAACAAAACTGTATCTCTTACACTTTAAATACCTTAATATCTTTTTTTTTTTTTTTTTTTTTTTAAATGTAGTTCAGGGTCTCAGCTACACAGATCAGACTCGTAGCAGTCCTCCTGTTTGCAGCCTCTCAAGTGCTGGGATTACAGGCATGCGCCACCACAGTCTCTGTTGCACTCTCAGCATGACCCAGGAGCAGGGCCAGCAAGGCAGGCAGGGGATCTAATCCTTGGCCACGGTGCTCCACCTAAGCAGGCACCTCAATCCAATGAGCTATCTGGCTGGCCCTTTAAATACCTTTATATCTTAATAATATACAATAATATGTAAACAACATTTGCCATGAGCATTGGGGAGACTGACGTATGTTACCTGTTTTGAAAAAGCTTGTACACTTGAAGTAAGCTTTAATCCTTCTGTAGCAAAAACCTGGTAGAAAGGGAAAGCATCACCATTTTAGGTTGATGTCTTATGGGTAAATATAATCTTTATATAATTTTAAAAACATAACTTTTTAAAAATATGTCATAGAATTCCTAAAATTTTTGTTCTGCCCAGGAAAACAGATTTACTGGATTAAGAAGTCTTCCCATGACCCAAAACAAAGTCAGTCTCTGAGAAGGTCTCTCTGGAGACCTCTAATACTAATACTCAGCCTGTAATATTAAACCATACAAAGTCTGTTTGGGTTTCTGAAAAAATCCCAAGCTCATAACCTCCAATTAAAAAAGGATAAATCTTGGAGCATGAGGTGAAGTTTAAAACTTTGCTTCTTCCACCTGAACAAGATTAAATTTGTCACCTATAGAAACATTCCACAATCATTTTGAGAAGAACAATTTGGATTGCTGTTGTTCGAGATTGACTGACTACTGTGCATTACACCATTTAGTGACAAGAACAGAACAGCGATGAAGAGTAGTGAATAATAAGATTGGACAGCTAAGATAGGGCTATGTCAGAGGTTAGAATGACATGGAGAATATTTTAGAGTGAGCAGCATCACCAGGTGAGGGATGAAGACTTAGCTCTCAGAGCTGTAGGAAGCACAGGGTGAGTCTGGGAGTCTTTCATGAAGAGGAACAATGGGTCTTTAGGAGCTAAATAGAACTATGCAGGAGGAAGCCATGATTCCAGGTTTTTATTGACCAGCCGTAATTAACATGTTGCTGTTCCTGGGTACGGACACTCTTGAGTTCAGTCTCGGATGTTTCCCCATCCTTTGAAAGGGAAACCAATGAGCATCTAGATTCTGACCATCCTCGATGGTTTACTTTGCCACGTGTTCCCCACCATGCCATATCACCACTTGCTGTTCTGCCTATCTTCTTTCCTTTTTAGCCTGCAAGCCCCTTGGGTGTAGGATCCAGGTCTGTCTCATGGAATATAAGGGTGTTGAGACAACCTTAAAACTACTAACTCCTATCAGGCACACTTGAAATCCCAGCTACTTGGGAGGTTGAGGCAGGAGGATAGTAATTTCAGAGCCATCCTCAACATCTTAATGAGACTTGCTTCAAAAAATAAAGGGCTGAGTGTGTATAATTCAGTAACAGAATGCCCCTCGACTTTATCTCCAGTACCACAAACAAAAACCTGGTAACTCCGAAGTCTCTGTTTCTGAACAACTTGACATCAGTCCTGTGTGTTCTACTTGCCTTTCATAGTTAATATGAACAAAAGAAAGTACTCTAAATCTTTCCATCTAAATCTGGTGTTCTCCAAGCTCCATGTTCCTTATCTGAGTAAATCAGACCATCCTTTCCCATGTGGTCAAGTCAAAAATCTTACAGAACATAAGTAAAATCAGTCACTGCTTCTTAGAACCCACCCACCATGAACATGATGCTCAGAAGAGAAGTCCTTCCCTGGCCTACAGAAGTGTCACTTTGCTCTGGCTTGCACCACTTGCCTCCTTACTCCTCTGGTTCTTCTAGCCCTACCCACAGAACCCAGGGCCTTTGTATTTGCTCTTTTGGAAATTCTGTACCCTGTATCCAACTCAAGTCTCATTTCATTACTGTCTTTTTAAAATTTATGTATTTGGTATAGGGTCTCAATACGCAGCTCAGACTCAAGTGATCCTCCTGTTTCAAGCTCCTCAGCCCTGAGATTACAGGTATGTACCACCATGCTTGGCAGGCCTGGGGCAAGGCCAGCATGGCGTGTGGTACTGGGGATCGAACACAGGTCCTTGCACTTGCCAGGCAGGCATTAGACCACTGAGCTATCTCCCCGGTCCCTCAGTGCCTCTATTCTAATGTCCACCTTCAAGAAGTCTTCTGATCCCCCATATGACCTTGATATTCTGATCTTATGTGATTTTATCTCTAACAACTTTATATGTATATGTGTACTAGATACTTCATATTGTCTCTCTCCTCCCACTAGAACATAAGCTCTATCAGGCCTGGGCTTTGCTTAGTCGTTCCCCCCCCCCCCCGAGCTCTTATCTAAGACACAGTACAAGTTTAGTATTAAAATTTTTGAATAAAAGATGCATTTTATGGTCATCTCAGTGGGGAGCAATGAGCAGACATTGATTTAATCACTCAGCTCTTCTGGAAGAAGGCGAGTAGTGCACAGCAGAGAATGGACATGGACCAAACTCAACAGAACACATCCCAGATTTCACCTAGCTGCTTTAAGGGGAGTAGCTCTTTTACAGTCTACCTCACATAAAAACCCAGAAGAAATATTTTCTGCATTTCTTCTGTGTTGACAGTCATGTGCTCAATCTGAAAATTTTCCTGAAGCGGTCAGGGTGGAAGTACACAGAAGCACCAAAGGAAACTAGACAGGAATCGCAAAGTGATAAAAATTCCAACTTTCAAATGTAGAAATACTTTAACAAACAGACTCTTGTGGGGGTCAGGGGAAGCCGGCGGGAATCTTGCAACCTCCTTGTCAATCTACAGACACTACCTGGAGAGAGGAGAGCGGGAGACAGCACATGCGGGGTTCCATTAGGTGCAGGGCAGAGAGGAGAGCACCAGCACATCTGTCTCTCCATCAGTGCCCCAGTTCAGCGTAAATGTGGGTGCACAGGACACTAGCACTCTAACGTTCTTCAGCCCATGACAGCAGCTTTCCTATGCAGTATCTCATGTTATCCGTATGATTCATCCAATTCAATGATGACAAGTCAAAAGCCTTCCTAGACCTCCGGGAGGTACAAGGGGCTGTATCGGCTCACAGGTATTTTCATCTACTTGGGAAAACCTAAAACGCACTGTAGCTTTGACTACCAATAAAGCCTATTCAACTTTATCCCCATAATACTTAAATTTCTTTCTAATGAGATAACCTAGAAAGTTCCATAAAATGCTACGGCAAACCTCTACTTTTCTACCATTCACTATAGTACACAGGTATGCACACATGCAAACAGCCACGTGGCATAAGAAATCTTAGAAAACCCCCACAATCCACTTTTGCCCAGAACTAAAGAAGTATCATAAAGTAAAAGGAAAGCATACCTCTAGGTGATGAATTATATCCTGGGAAGTTTTCAACGGCCCCTCTCCTCTAAAATAGAATGAGTTATTAAAAATTTTGAAAAGTTAATGCCAGAAATTTGGTTGTATAATAATAAAGTTTTAAAGCATTCTATGTAGTAACAGTTCACAAATTTTGAAAAATAATATGAATAGATTTATACTGGCTTTTTTTTTTAACTTTTGTGAGTTGACTCTAAAAGCAACTTTAATATGTCTTTTTAGGTTATCGCCCCCCCCCCATAAACATATATATTAATGTTACAATGCAAGAAGTTTAAAACTGACAAGTTACTTTAAAGTTGTATTTTATTTTCAGTTTGCTCTATGAATTGAATATATGAGATGTCTTAACAGAAAGGCCTTTTATTACACAATGGAAACAGGACCAGACCAAAAGTCAGGAAATTCTCCATAATTATAATTTCAATTCTAGTAGAAACTCTGTCCAGCTTCAATGAGGCAATATTATTTTATCTTTAAATCTAAATGTAAAAAATAATCATAATAATACTTGTGTTACCAGTCTTATCACGAGATTGGAAATACCAGATTATCAACTACAAAAACAATTAAAACCTCTAAAAAATGAAAGTAAGTTCTAAGGAAAGCATAAATGCACTAAGAACAGTGAGATCAGATGTAAGGGTGGCATGTTGGCCTTGCACGTGTGAAGTCCTGGGTTCAGTGCCCAGTGTCCTGCCTCAGCCTCCAAGAAGGCAGAGCACTACATGGGGCATAAATCAGATCTGCACCCTAGTGGCAGCCAGCTCTGCCACTAAGAGCTGTGAGATGTGAACAAATCATTTCAGTTCTCTATTAAACCCAGGGTGAAACGAAATCATACAGCAGTTTTAAAATCTCTAAGGCTAGACTCACGGTGCAGCCCAGTGGTAATACACTTACCTAGCATGTGCAAGGCCCTTCATTCAAGCCCTAGTACAGCAAAAATGAAACAACAATTCTGTAAGGCCTGGCCTTCATTTGATATTTTTTAACTATAAAGTACTGAGGATCTTAATCATATAATCAACTATTATAAATTATTGAGAAATGATATAAGTTATTGCGGTGAACTTAAGTAGTGGCCTGAGGAAGCGCTGTATGATTGCCCTGGTAAACCATGAATTTTGATACTGTGAAGGTCAACAGTTGGTCTTAGAAATAAGTACCTAGATAGGGTTGGTGAGCCACAGATTTTAAGGGAAAATGGAAAAGACTGTTAGGGAAAGCACGTATTTAAACCTGTGGATAAGAAACAAAACCAATTTAAAACAGAAAAATAACCAACCTGAGATTTGACCACAGGAGGCAATTACATAACCAAGACTTACCTAAATGATACAAGGTATTCATGTATTACAGAAAATTTCCCTCTTGCAAGTCAATGATTCCTAGCCACGAGGATCAATATGGTTATATCTTAGAACAAGTGTCAAGCCACAGAACTTTAGTAATCCCTACCGCTAACGGACCTTAACCTTTATGGGATAGACTCTGTCCTTTACCAAAATCTACTACATATTCTGACTCTGAAACAAAAAAATGCTGGCCTGAAATACTCTGAAATAAGAATTAATAAACAGGGCTGTAACTTGTGTGTCTCACTGCTAGGTGGCTCTAAATGTATGGACCAGCAGTGTTATAAGCATGACGGTCCCGTGGGCAGCGTGGGGGTGGTCATGCATGTACCACCAGTGCATCACGCTGGCAAGAATGTGCTAAACAGGCAGTTACAGTCTTAAAAAAAAATGCTGATGAACCTGTGGGCAGAGTTTTGTATTTCAAAACTACTTTCATTAGGTTAATGTATTTTCCAGTTTTTATTAGCTAAAAACTTTTAAAACATCATTTTCATTCTAATTAGTGATATCTAGCATGAGTCCAGCCAAAAGTTGAAATTTTTGTTATTTTAGTAGTCTGGAAATTTACTGAGTATAGAAGAGTTCCATTTTGTGTTCTTTTGCAGACTGAGGCACCAGATTTTAAAAAGGAATCCACTAAGAAGGGAAGCTAATAGTCATGCTGGGAAAACTCAGTCACAGGAGACCCTTGCTCAGAATGATTAAGGACAACAGAAGGGAACCAACAGAGGAAAGTCTCCTAATGATGAGGCATTCACAAATGATAGCTAAAGAGCAGCAAAGGTAGATTCTATCATTTCTGCCCTCCTCCTCCAGAAAAAGTATCTGCCTTCAAAAGGCAGAAGGCAGAAGGCATCACTAAAAAGAAAATGCAATTTCCCAGCTAAGATACGCTTTTTCACTGCCCCCAGTCTTTTTCAGGAGGGGCTCCCCACAAATCTAGCATCCCTCATCATTACTCTCTACTGCCTCACTTTCTCCTCCCATCAAAAGGACACACTCTTCAATCCTAGGCACCACATGCCAGTGCTGGACCACCCCCAGGCACACTGAGCTGGTCACTAAGACCTGGCAAGGTGGTACATGCCTGTAATCTCAGTGCTGGGATGGCTGAAAACAGGAGGATCACTACAAGTCTGAGCTGTATAGTGAACCCTGTACCGATACATTAAAAAAAAAAAAAAAAAGACACTTATCTTTCTACTCTTCCTGGTGACTGCAAAATTAATTTGGATAATGTATCTTTTCCTTTCCTACATTTTCATCTGCAAGTAAAGCTGCCTTTGAGAGATAGCGGCTCTTCCCACATGTTACACATTCTGCCCCACTGCAGTACTGGGAATGGAACCCAGAGCCACCACACTAAGCTACATCTTCAGCCTCTTTTAATTTTAATTTTAAGACAAAATCTCACTGAATCATTAGGTTGTTGTTCAGGATGGGCTTAGACTTGCAGTTTTTCTGCCTTAGCCTCCAGGATTAAAGGCATACACCACATGTCCACAGAAGGTAAGATTTCTTAAGTCTAGGGCTCATTTTTAAAAGCCGACTTTGACTGCAGATATAAACTACTTGTACAGTATCAGTTTGTTTTTGTTTTTTCCCATTTATATATTTGGTACAGGGTCTCACCATACAGCTCAGATTCATAGTGATCCTCCTGTTTTCGGCCTCCCTAGTGCTGGGATTACAGGTGTAGGCCACCATGCCTGGACTCAGTTACAGGCTCAGCAAGCTCAGGGGTGGGGCCAGTGCAGCATGCGAGACTGGGGATTGAACCCTGGTTCCTAAACCTGCCTAAGCAGGCGCTTAGTCTGTGGAGTTACCTCACTGGCCCTAATATCAGTTTTATTAATCTTTTAAAACCAAAATGAGGGGGCCTGGCCCTAGCTCAGGCCTTTAAGTGGCTGCTTCCACAAAGCTGTCAGCCTCAGGTTGCTGGAGTTCGAACCTCACACCTCTCCCGCTGGCCAAAAGTGCCCTGAAGGCATTCGAGGAACCAAAAAAAAAAAAAACAAAATGAGTAGGAGAAGGGTTAGCTAGATGGTATAAATATTGAAATCAGTTATCTTCCAGGTTTCCAAAAAAAGAGAAAGCAAACTACAGAAAGTAAATGAAAATTCTGAAGTTGTTTCTGGATAAAATTCTAGAAAAGATCATTAAACATTTAACATTTTAGCTAGAATTACTATACAATGTGTATAAATTACTGTCACAAAAAGACAGTGGAATCTGATTAGTGTTAATTTCAATAAGGCCTTTAAACCAGGCATGGTTGTACACATACATAAACCTAGTAATCTGTAGGCTAAGACAAGAGGATTACCAAGGGTTTGTGGCCAGCCTGGACTACAAAGGCTCCAAAACAAAAGACATTTAATTAAGAGACTTGTAATATAGACAAGACAGAGAATGGAAGAAAGATAAAAGGGAAATTCTCATCTCCATAATAAATTCTGACTCAGAAATTTGGCACAAAGGTAGGCCTCATAGCTCCATTCATTGGTTTATGTTTAATTAATCACTTTATAATGTTATAAATGGCATACTCAGTCAGGTGTGATAGCATACACCTATTATCCCAGTTACTTGGGAGGCTGAGGCAGGAGGATCCCAAGTTCAAGGCTAGCCTGACAACTTAGTGAAACTGTCCAAAAGATTGCTGATGATATAGTTAGGTGTGGTGGTATATACCTGTAGTCCCAGAATCCCAGCATGAGGCAGGAAAGTTGTTAAGCTTGAGGCCTACCTGAATATAGTGAATTTAGGGGCACCCTAGACGACATAAAGAAATAGATAAAAAGAGCTGAGAATGTAGCTCAGTGGTAGAGCACCTCTGGGTTCAATCCCCAGTCCTGAAAAAAGAAAAAGAAAAGGCACATTCTGTAAACATACCCATGCTGGCTGAGACACACCACTGTGCAGGATGACAAAAGCATAATGTAAAATTATTTCAAGATTATGGAAAGCGTGGTGCACTGACCAGTAAAGGATCCTTTCTAAATCTAACTCTTAATGAAATGTGTCTTGTTGCTGCGTCTGCTGAGTTATAACTGCTTCTTGTCTTTTTTTTTTAATCATACATTCACTGGCATTAACCCATCAATGATTTAACACAGCACTTTGTCTTTTACCACATATTGTTATACTGATCATAAAAATCAAAGCATTTACCTGGTAAATAAATAGAGAGAGTAAGCCATCCTGGACATGTTCCGTCCATATCGAACAATCTCATTCTCCTGATCCTCCCACTTCTCAATTTCACAGTCGGCGTCAGAAGTAAGCAAGCCCAGCTTGAGTCCAAGCTTCGCTATCTTGGCTTGCTCCTGCAAATGGACAGCATATTCACAACTTTGTCGTGACGGACACGAAGGGAAGATTAGATGTACGACAGCAGAAAGGAAGAGGCCCTACCTCAGAGTCAGCCTTGTCGGGCTTCAGTGATTTATTTACATTGTTCTTCTGTGAAAATAAAAAGATTGTGGTATCTTAGAAGGCAGTGTATTTAAATGTAAGGAATTCTACAGTAACAGCGTAACTAGTATTAAGGTCTAATTTTAATATATCCAGTATATACTTAAGTTATACTAAGTAGTTTAATTAGACCGCCAACCAATTGCAAATCTCTGGCTAGTAGGAGAGTTCAGCTCTGCATGGGTTGCTAGTTAGAAGTCGGGCTGGCCAGAAGAGCAGATCACTGTCCCCTCCTGCTCTTGTCCTGTCTGCAGCTGCTCTCTGCTTTTCACCTGCACTTCAAGGGCTTCAAGACAACTTCTGCACTGTTCTCGGACTCCCATAATAACGTACCCTAAAGCCTCTCTGACATCTCCATTGCGACAAGTTTATGATGCTTCAATTATTCTTAAGAGTATTATTCTGTACATATCTTTCTATTCTTTCCTAACAGTTTTGACCTGAGATTCATTTCCTGTACCTCCTGTGCCCTTAGATGGCTGCACTTCAGAAACACCTTACTTTAATTGCCTTCTGTGTCGCTAATCCTATATCCCACATCATAAAGAAATTATTCTGAGAACTTAAGATTTAATATGTGAACCAGTGGCTTCCTACTTATGAAAATCAAGTTTGTTTTTATATAAACTATTTGGAACTAGCAGGGATAAGTCTATGAACTAGGTTATCAGGCTAGTACACAGATACTTACTTTAAGAAGAGAGTAACAGGCTAGATCTACCACTACCAATAGCAGTATTTCTTTGAAAATACATGCAAAGGCTGTCTGGAGATGATCGCCCACAAGGAGGATCCCTCCAAGTCTGAGCTACAGTGGGAGCTGCCACAGTGGATGCAGGAATCCCAGAAGAGCTGGAAACAAAAAGTGGCCAGCAGGTGGATAAAGCCATTTTTAAAAATGGAAACATATTTAAATTACGTATGCACAGAAATACAAATTGGGCATGTAGTCACATGCATGCACATAAGGTATAGATTACAATAAAACGAAACATTCATGTGCTTGTTTAACTTAAGAAAAGCATCATTACCGTACTTCTGTGTACAGATGCTCCCCAGCTTACAACAGGGTTATGTATGGATAAACTCCATCATACACTGAAATAGCCCTAAGCCAGAACTGAACGGAACGCCCTGGCCTGTGGACTGTGACAGCCGTGTGTACGGTGCACTGCCCGCTGCCAGTTATTTCCCCTCAGGATCCCATGGCCCAGGCCCACTGTGCCTGCCCAGCATCATGACAAAGGCCCTCCATGGACCACAAGCTCGGGAAGACGTTAAAATTCAAACTTCAAAGTACAATGTCTATCACATTATGTACTGTTTTCACACCACTGTAAAGTGAAGCAGCTAAGTGAGGGGCCATCTGTGCCTGCATGTGTCCATGCATGTGGGTGTGCACAGAATCAGATACCACAAACCTTTTGACCAACAATAGGCCTCATATACCATGTGTTTCTTCCTAAGATTATAGTACCTAGCCATCTTAGTGGCGTCAGTGTATTCTTAGGGCGTCTGCACAATGATAAATTCTCCTAATAACCCATTTCTGAGAATGAGTCGTCACTGTTAAGTGATATGGGTTTGTGTGTGTTTCCCTTGTTATAACCTATAAACATGGTTGCTACTTCTTTTTTTTTTTTAATATTTATTTATTTTTATTTATTACATTTATTTATTGTGTGTGTGTGTGTGTGGCCAGCTCAGCCCACCAGGGGGCGGGGCTGGCTGGCATGTGGTGCTGGGGGATCGAACCGAGGTCCCTGTGCTTTGCCAAGCTTGTTTCAAGTAGGTGCTTTAGACCACTGAACCATCTCTCCAGCCCATGGTTGCTACTTCTGACCAGCTAGTCTGTCTCTAGTTTCACTACAAAACAGGACTTCCAGACCAGGTAGACAGTTCAATGGCACAAGTGCCTGCCTGGTAAGCACAAGGTCCTGAGTTTGGTATCTGATATAAATAAATAAATAAATAAATAAATAAATAAATACTGGGTCAGCTTTTCCCTTTCTCCATCCTATAGTTTAGATTTCCTCATTGAACAAAGATTTTTGAGATTTTCCAATGATATTTACTATTGAAGACATAAGTGAAGCTAAAGAACAGAAGGCATACAGACAGAAACTATAACTATATACGTACACTGCACACATAAATACGAGCCGTCTCCTATCTCCCTAGAAAATAATGGGCATGATCATGGTGTCCCTGGCTCCTCAACAGATAGCTGCATCTTCCTTGTTTCTTTTCTGGGCCTCATAGACTTTAATGCAACTGGTAATGCAGTCAAGAAATTTGTGACAGTCTCAAGGTTTTAGGTTTTGTTTTATTTAGAATTTTATATCCCATCTCATTCTTTTTACTTTCTTTCCTTTGGTACTGGGAATCGAACTCAGGACCTTGCACTTACCAGGCAAGCACTTGTGCCACTGAGCTGTATCCCCACCCCTACTGAAGTAGTTAATGAAGGCAGAGAGGGCACTGCCAAAAATGGCAGACAGATAGGCTTGATGCCATGACCAGGCTCACCTGCCATCTGGTGGACACTATTTTGGAATGAAGCCAGATGCACTGGTTCCCTTTAAACTAAGATTTTGAACCTCAAATAGCACCAGCCTGGGGCCGGGCAGATAGCTCAGTAGAATAAGCACTTGCCTAGCACGTGCAAGGGCCTGAGTTTAATCCCTGGTTCCGCAAAAAAAAAATAATAAAATAAAATAAATAGCACCAGCCTCCACATTTGCTTCCTCAAAAGGATGGCTACAATTTTTTAGGACTAGAATTAGATGCTCAACTGAAGAATGGTTAGAATGGTTCATGATTCTAAACTGCAACTAAAAACTTAAACAGCAATTCAATAAAATCTTGCTCCTCTAAATCAATTAAAAGCTCTGTGATATTTTTTCTTAACCTCAAAAAATTATCTTGGGAGCTGGACAGTGGCACAGGCCTACAATCCAGGCACTCAGGAAGCTGAGGTGGGAGGATCTCAAGGCCAACACCAGCCTGGACTACATGGCAAGATCCTATCTCAAAGAAAAATATTTTTTTTTTTTTTTTTTGTAGAGGCTCAAAGTTATAGCTCTCACAAAAGTCTCTTATCTTTATATGCTTGAACTCTGTAGGATATTAGCTATGATATGACCTGTTGGGGTTAAGCTGGATTAAGGCACAAAACAGGCAAACTTCTATCCATACTTTCAAACTATTCTGATAGCTTAATACGCAGAAACTGTCTTCCAAAACCAAATGCCACAGAACTCTTTTGCAGTTTACTTTAATAATAATGATTTATAAAAACGTACAAGTAAAGGAATGAGACAGGGCACTGAAGTGTTATGACTGCCTCTTCACTAGCTACGTTCAGTTTTCTAATGTGATTTCAGCATTAAGTATCAGTCTCAATTCAGAAAATACATTCCCTAGCAAAGTGCCCTTTATAAAATCTGGGATTTGTCGTCTGTCCTTCCCTTACATCAGCCACCCCCACCACCACGCCTACACTCCCACCCCTCATGGCCAGTGCTCCCTGCGACACTCTGCTCTTCACCAGTGTTGCTATAATCACCAACAAACCCCCTCTCCTGCTTTCTTAAACCTGCATGCTCCCAGGGAGTAGCCACTAACTGCGTGTGGCTGTAGCATGCCTGAGGAGTGGCTCTCTGAGGAAGAGGAGCTGTGGGAGTGGGAAAGCTCAAGGTGACAGGAGGACTAAGAGACTCCGCCATCGTGTGATGAGTACCGGTTGGCAGGAAAACAGTTGGCACAGGCTGGATTAAATAAGATATTAAATTCCACAACTTCCTTTTCAAAAACACCATTACTATAACATTTTAAATTATGTATGTGCTTTGAAATATATTTCTGTTAAACAGCCTTGAGCCAGGCAGTCAGAGAGCATCCTGTCTTTTGCACCGACTCAACAAACTATCAAATTAGTGTCTGAGTGTTAAACTCGTGCCAGGCAGTCCTAGGCAACAGGAATGCCACAGTGAGAGCAATGTCCCTGTACATCCCTACCTGTGGAGTGTGTATTTGAGCATCTCTCTCAGCATTACTGCACTAGTGCCTAGTGCCTGGAAAATAGTAGGGGGATCAGGGAGTACCGAATGGTTCCGTGAATAAGTGAATCATTTTTTTGTCTGTCTCACACAATACACTTGACCTGTTATAAATCCTATGAACCATCCAAGAACTCTCTTCTTTGTGATTAGGAAACTAGTTCTAATTTTTTCTGGGGTATAATCTTTGATTTTCTCATTTACACTTCTCAGATACTACTTCTAACCAGTTCATTGTGTTTCCTCCTCTGAAACTAGTTATTAGGACACTTGATGGTTTTCGAATCATGATAACCAATTCTTTTTATTATCATATCTGTTTTTTTCTTTTCTTCTTTTTTTCTTTTCTTTTCTTTTCTTTTTTTTTTTTTTTTTTTTGAGACATGGTTTAACTCTGTAGTTTAAGCTGACCCTGATCTCACTGTGTAGCCCAGGCTGGCCTCAAACTCACAGTGATCCTCCTACCTCAGCCTCTGGAGTGCTGGGATCACAAGTGTGTACCACCAGGCCTGCCCATTTCTGTTTTTCATAGCTTACATTTCATTAAAAATTACAATTTTCTATAGAATGATCACTTCAAATGCACTGCTTGAGTCATCAGAATGTCACCTGTGTAACATGACTGATGTTAAAAGGCTGCCAGAGAACAGAAATTCTCACTTCCAAAGGAAATTTTTTTTAAGTACCAGGAATATCCAAAGGAATCTTAGGATCACTGCCTACTTAATTTATTCCTCTGTATTTCTTTTTTTTTTTTTTAATTTTTATTTATTTATTTATTTATTTATTTGAGAGAGAGAGAGAGTGAGAGAGAGAGAGAGAGAGAGAGAGAGAGAGAGAGAGAGAGAGAGACCAGCTTAGCCCACCAGGGGGCAGGGCTGGCTGGCATGTGGTGCTGGGGGATTGAACCGCGGTCCCTGATGCTTTTGCTAAGCTTGTTCTAAGTAGGTGCTTTAGACCACTGAGCCATCTCTCCAGCCCCTATTCCTCTGTATTTCTTTCTCACACATACATGGCATGTTTTCATTTAGGAGAAAGCACATGAAAGTTCTTAGTTTATAGAAAACAATTTTGACATTGCAAATTAGACTCAAGCATGGAAAACAAAATAAATTATTACTCTGCTGAATTAAAATCCCCAAACCCAGGGCTGGCAAGATAGCTCAGTGGACTACTTAGTGCCTACTTAGGCAAGTAGAAGGACTGGGGTTCAATCCCTGGTACACATGCCACACCAGCCCCACTCCCTGGTGTGCTAAGCTGGCCACCGAGTCCAGGCATGGTAGTGCACACCTGTAATCCAATTCTGGGGAGGCTGAGACAGGAGGATCACTATAAGTCTGAACTGTGTAGTGAGATACTATACCAAATACATTAAATAAATAAAATAAAATCCCCAAATCCAACACAAACATTCAGAGGGTAGCCCATATATCAGAGTTTACTACATAGACCTAGAGTTAAAAGCTGTACAACGAATAGTTAGTACATTCTCACCAGCTGGAGCTATCACTGGTATAGGCCTGACTAGCCCTTGGTGTGGCTTGTATCTCTGGTAGTACAAATGCATCTCATCACTTTTATTGGTCTTTTTACTAACAAAATTCAAAAAAAGCTACTCAATGGGACAGCCGTGCCACTGATCATTATCAGTGATTCAAGCCACTTGGCAGAGAGACATACACATTATGGCCCCATTGTGAACATGTTAAGAGCCTAACTTTATTCTACAGTGGAGGAAGGGCAGGAACAACAGGCAACAAGCATGATCTGTTGGCCATCTTAGGGCATGCCTGTAATCCCAGCACTTGAGAAGCTAAGGCAGGACAACTGCAAGTCGAAGGCCTGCCTGGGTTACATAATGAGTCAACGTAAGACCCCATCTCAGAATCAATCAGTCAACTCCTGAGGGCCAGGCAAATAGCTCAGCAGATTAAAGGCACAGAGGCCAGAGGTTCGATCCCCAGGCCTGCCATGCTGGCTTCACCCCTAGGGCGTGCTGAGATGGCAATTGAGACTGGGCATGGTGCCGTGTGCCTGTAATCACAGCACTTGGGAGGCTGTAAACAGGAGAATCACTATGAGTCCGATCTAGTAGTTAGAACCTGAACACCCTGAAGATCCTTCCCTAAAAAAAAATACAAAAAAATATATATATAAAAATGAAAAAAATCGATCAACCCCTGCAAAGAAAGCATAACTTAGATTCTGAATTCACATACACACATATGCAAACATTCTGAAATATACATAATTCTACTTACCATTGGCTTTGGCAGTGGAAGGTAGCCATACTTCTCTCCTACAAATAACATATATAATTTAAAAACATTTTTCTGCTATTCACATTTAACTTCTAAAACATTAAATGGGAAAGTTAGTACATTATTTTGACAGTCTATTAATTATATGTGGTTGAGAACTAAACTCCTGACATGGTGACCAAAATGAAGACTGAACACCCGCACCCCTGCTGGCCAGTCTCTCCTGACATAAAGCTAAGTGAGACAAAAGCTAAATGTCTCACTGACATTGATTCCCACTTACAGTTGGCTTCACATAGAGCACTCCTTTTACCAAAATCTGTCTCTGTTGAAGCCAGAGACTTTTTAAATCAGTACCAGTATCAGTGCTTCTTCCTTCTCTGCACACACCAAACCCAATCATTTACCCTAATGACATATTCTCAGTCAGGGAGGAGAATGACCCAGTAAACCAGAAAGGAAGGTGAAAGCAAGCAAGCAAACAACAAGTTGTTGGGGCTATGAACGGACACAGGGTGTGACACATAGACAACTAAGAAAAGAAGGCAGATAGCAAAGCCACCTCATCCCTGCCACATTTACAGTGTTTCTGGTTTCCAGATTGTGGACAGTCAGGTCACAGTGGATGACAGATACTTTTTTAGTGCTAGTCTGTGATATCTAGGTTAAGAATTTAAGTAATCTTGTATTGTGTAATGGAAGATGTCTCCTGGCTCTCTCTTGCTTGACACCTTTTGAAATGTCCTTTTTGGGATCTTCTAGTCATTTCTGGAATGGACTTGGAAGGGAAAAGAGCAAAACTCAAAAACCAGGAGCTGCAGTTCTGAGCATTTTTTATAGAACTGGTTCACTCAGGCCAGGGATGTAGCTCAGTGACACGGCACCTGCCTAGCAAGCGCAAGGGCCAGAGTTTGATTCCCGGTACAAAAAAAAAAGAAAATAGTAAAAAAATAAATAAATGAAAAAAAATTTTTAAAGACCAGAATTGGTTTACTCTCAACAGAACACCCAGAGCTGGATTAAGAGAGTGAGCAATTGATAAATTTCACTGTTGGCATCATCAGATTCAACTAGCCCTGCTGTCTCTAGCTTATTCACCGGAGCCATTGGCATAAACTTCCTCAAATCTCACATACATTTGGGATATCACCTGTGTCACAAGGTCACTGAGAGGATGCAGTGAGACAGTACACATCTCACACTTACCAGAGCAGCCTGCACAGAGTAAGTTCTCAATATATGGCACCTATTATTATTGTATGACTGTATTATCATGCGAATACCTTTCCTTTCCTTTCCTTTCCTCCCTTTCCCTTTCCTCTTTCTTTCTCTCTTGGTAGTACCAGGGATCGAGCTCAGGACCTTGTGCTTGCCAGTCGAGCACTTATTCCACTGAGCTGTCTCCCTGGCTCCCATCTAGTAGACTTCTCAGTGATCATTTTTATAATTTAACCCGCACAGAACATAGCAACTTGTAGGTTCTTTTAATTTTTCACTGAATCTTTTCCTGCTTTTTAATTTATTTTTTAATTTTATTTGCATTTATTTTATGCTTAATTTATGCCCATGCCATAGTTTTTGTTTCTCCAGTTTCTTCTGGGATATCTTTTTCTTCTGTGCAACTTCCTCCTCTGGTTTGGGAACAGTTTGTTCCTTTTCTGTAAGGATCATCTCAATATGGCAGGGGGAGCTCATGTATGGATTAATCTGGCCATGAGTTCTGTAAGTACGGCGGCGCATCTTGGGTGCTTTGTTCACCTGGATGTGTTCAATAACCAGAGAATCCACATCTAAACCCTTTAGCTCAGCATTACTCTCTGCATTTTTAAACATGTGCAGCAAAAATTCAGCACTCTTTTTGGGTCACTGACCTTGTGTCCAGCCCCACTGTTTGGGGGCACACCTACCAGCTCCACCACTGTAACACTGGAATGGCACACACTGCTTCTTTAACATGACATCCTTGAGATACTTGGTGGCCTTTCAGATATGCAGACCCTTGATAGTCTGGGCAGTTTCACGCGTGTTCTTAAAGAGAACACGAAGATTTGAGCCTCTTGATTTGCATGATTTTGTGGGGTTTTCTGGGTCGAGAGAGCAGCGAACCATTTTCACAGGTCACCTCAGGCCGCTCACAGGAAGAGCTGCTTGTTTAATAGAAGCTAATCTTGGGAGGAGAAAGATACCTCAGAAAGCAAGGACTGAACTAATGCTGCATTCAGTATCCTGCAAGAGAAACCTTTCAGAGGGCATCAGTTCTCCCCTGGAGAACAACTGAGCTTCTTTTGTACAGACAAACAAGCTAGGCTGTTTCTGGAGGTCAAGAGACTTTCTATAGCCAGGAGCGAAGGGACACACCTCTAATCCCAGGCCACTAGGAGGCTGAGGCAAGAGGATCACAATTTGAGCCCAGCCTGAACAACTCAGCAGGTAGCAAAAGTCAGTCTCAAAAAAAGAGTTGGTGGGGCCGGGGAGATGGCTCAGTAGAATAAGCGCTTCCCTGGCAAGCGTAAGGGCCTGAGTTCAATCTCTGGTTCCGCAAAAAAAAAAAAAAGAAAAGAAAAGAAAAAGGGCTGGAGGTGTAGCTCAGTGTGAAGACCTTGGGTTCAATTTTGTGTGTGTGTGTGTGTGTGTGTGTGTGTGTGTGTGTGTGTGTGTGTGGTGGGGGAGGAGGGCTCTTCTACAGTGAAGCCAGACAAGCTATTCCCAAAACCCCCAAAAGTGAAGAGATATAGCAGAAGAGGAATATCAGAAAATAGGAGAGAGAATGATTAAAGGGGAAAAAGACCTGGTGCTTTTTCTTAAGCTGTTTATTTAGCTTTGCTGGAAGAATAATGGTGGTCAGGATGCTGACGAGAACACAAACAGCAACTGTTCAGAGCTTACTAGGAATGAATTTCTGAATCTTCACACCCACCATGTGAGGTAGTTATGCCATTATTATCCCTGAATTACAGCCATCAAACTTGAAGACAGATGTTAAGTTAAGAGAATGGCCAGGGCAGGATGGGAACCCAGGCAGTCTTGTTTCAGAAACTGCTTTTCAAATTCTACCCAATGCTGTCCTTTAGCATAAGATTGTCACTCAAATCTCAGCACAAGGAAGCAACAACTTAATGGGAAAAGGAAATTTAGGTTTTTCTTTCTCAAGCTTAACAGCTTCTATGCTAACTGCTACTCAGAAGTTAGCCTGGGGTTAAAGGAGGGAGTGTTGAAGGGTGGCTTTCTGGAAAGGAAATATCCTTTTTAATAGAAATAAAAGAAGAAAGATCCACCCCCCCCCCAAAAAAAATGATAAAACAGGGCAGGCCAGATAGTTCAGTGGACTAAAGCACCTGCTTAGGCAGACGCAGGGACTGGGGTGCAGGGACCAGGGTTCAGTCCCCGGCATGCTGTGCTGGCCCCACACCCTGGACGCGCTGACATAGTGATTGAGTCTGGGCATGGTGGTGCAGACCTGTGATCCCAGAGCTTGGGAGACTGAAAACAGGAGGATCATTATGAGTCTGATCTGTGTATAGTGAGGCCCTGGAGATACTGTACTAAATTCATTTTTTAAAAAATGATAAAATCATCTGGCTTAGAAAGAATGAAGATCCCAGACACAAAGAGGAAGGTGCTTTGGGCTGTCAGTCAAGGGACCAGGACAAAGAGAAATCCAGGTCTATTTCAGGTTCACGATGAACTCACCAGCCCAGGGATATAGGACACTCCAAGTGCTGCCTGTCCAGCCATACCCTGCCTTTAATAGGAGAAGATGAACACCCAGCACAGAGCAGTATGAAAGAAACCTGTCCCAAGCCCGATGGCCCCTGGTGGAGGAGAATCGGCTGGCTGGGCTTGGAGCCACATCTTTTTGGGCTGCAGCTATTAGTAAAGTTTCCCACCGGGCACTTGGAGCATGCCAGCAAGTGCGTGGAAGCCATCACTTCCCAGAAAAATAGACACGCAGTCCAGTCGCTGGCACTGTCATGGGCCAATGTCACTGGATGCAAGAGGGGAAACGACAATGCTCCTCAGGGTGTAATAACAGGCTGGCAGCACGGGCAGGGAACCTTCTCACCCGGAACTCAAAATGACACCAACCTCAGCTTGTGCTCACCAAGGCTCTCACAGCTGGCAGGGGCCTCCGTGTCCACTTGGCCAGAGGCCTTCCTCACCCTGCCAAAGACACTCACACTTGCTGGGGCCAGGAGGGCGCGTTGACACCAGTGAGAAAGGGACTGGGCCCGGCAGGCACTCTGGCTCCCCAGACCAGACACCTTGCCTCACTCTACTTTCTAACAGTCCCTCCAGTCCTTCCTCAAACTATAGCACTTCCATCACCTTTCAATAGGTGAAAGCGTGCTTCCTATAGAACCCCCTGTAATTGAGAATACTTTTAAATGCTTTAAAATAGTATGCTAGGGCCAGGGATATAGCTCAGTGGCATAAGCACCGGCCTGGCAAGCGTAAGGTCCTGAGTTCTATCCCTGGTACCACAAAAAAAGAATAATAATAATAAATAAAATTGCATGCCATTCACACTACCATCAGAGAATTCTTTAAATGTGGAAGCATGGTAAACATTTATTTTACTTTCAAATGACATGACATCTATAAAGTCTATCATTCCTTGATTTTTAAGCAAATATTTATCATAAATGGATATTTTAATATGAATTGTTTAAATATTCTTATTCAGTAAAAACAAATATGTAATTCTATGTTATGACATCAATAATATTTATTTTTTAGAAAAGATCATGCTTTGACACTAACAGAAACCATTTGAAGGGGAAAAAATAATTGTAAAAAACAAATAATAGGACATACAGTACAATGGGAAATAAATAAAACTCCCAGTGGATATAAAAATAAAGAGTAAACACAATGTCTTCCTATTCACTGTACAGTGCTATTCTACATACTGTAGAACTAGCAAGGAACTTACCCACCACAGGCAATATTCCAAGTTTATGCAGTCATCAAGGAAACAGATTTCATCCAAGTGGAAGGAAAGCAATTCAAAAATCAAATAACTACATTCATTTCATTATGAAGATAGTAGAATTAAATCAGAGAATTTCTATATTACAGAAGAACCTTGTACAAAAACTAAATATAACAATTGAGGGGAAATAAAAAAAAATGACTTAATTGCAATAGGAAAACTGGAATGTTAATTCAAGAAATCTTACACTATAGTACAATAAATCTGACTGCTTAGATACTATAATAAAGAAAAGAAAAACAGCACTGTTTTGAAAAACATTCTAAAAATTCAAGTGGGCTATAACAAGATAATTAATTTTTTTTTTTTTTTTGCAGAACCGGGGATTGAACTCAGGCCCTTGCGCTTGCCAGAGAAGCGCTTATTCCACTGAGCCATCTCCCTGGGCCCCAAGATAATTAATTTTGCCCCCAAAGGCTAATACTAAAAAAAGACTTGGATTACTAATAATAGAGTCACTAATATACAAAGGAAAAATGAAGCAATGCGCTGCAGTGTGCAGGCAGCCGCTCACCTCGTCGTCCTTCAAAGACGTCGCTGATTTCCCTCAGCAGCGTGGCCAAGTCACTGATTTGGGATTCCCAAGCTTCACAGAATACATCCAGGTTTTCTTTAGCAATTTTACTAGATGGATGCAATGTCAGCGTTTCAGCAGCAGAGATTATCTGAACACAACACAGAAGTCTAAATCTTAAAATCTGACCCCATGAAATCACCCTGGAGATCACATTTAAATCTGTATGACTCAACTCAGAAACAAGAGTCAGGCAGGGTGGCATAAGCCTGGAATCCCTGCTACACAGGAGGCTGGGGCACAGGGTTGAGAACCCACAGCCTGCCTGGACAACTTAGTGAGACTCTGTCTTAAACTAAAACATCCAAAGAAGCTGAGGATGCAGCTACGCGATAGCATGCCCTTGGGTTGATTCCCAGAACAAGAAAAAAAAAAAAAAAGACAACCATGAAAATTATGAAATAGTTTCTGCACAGAGGCCCCATGTTGAACAATATATAACAGGACGTCTGTTTTATTAAATAATGTGATCTACAGAAAATGATAAATTATAGGGAAATTTATATAATGTGATAAAGCTGCATCAACATGACTAACAAGTTATGTTGCTATTCCATGAAGTTTTATGGGATTTCCTTCACACTGACAGACATGAATATGTAAGACATTAAAATGGCTATTCATTTGCCTACTGTGTGCCAGACACTGTGCCCATCTTGCAGGTGCTGGGAAAACACTTGGGAATGACAGAGAGATGTCCCAGTCTTCACTGGGCTCACAGTACAGTGAGACAATTTAAAAGATATGACATAAGATTTTTTACAGGAATAAATCATGTGCATACACACAGGATAAGGAAGGCAGAGGGGTACCAGGTGCTTGCCACAGTGTTTTCAGTTAGTTCTTCACCGAAAAGGTGAGAGAGTCACAGGGAAAATCACTTGGAATGGGGTTGCCAATATTTTGCAGCGCGGACAACTCAGCAAGTAGATCAGTGTGAGCAGACTGACGTGAACAAGGCAGCCTGCAGCTGCGCAATGGAAGAACAAACATGGCGAGAACTGGGCTTTCTTCTGAGTGGAAAGGATGTCACCTCCTTGGAGAGCTTGCAGAAGACTATGGTCAAAGCCAGGCTAGCTGATAAGGTCAGCACCTTGAAAGAATAAAACCAGGTGCCCATGGGGGGTGGGGTGGGCAGTCTCCTAGGCTCGGGGTTGCCAAGCAGATGGCACCAAGAGAAAGCAGGCACAGGGCTTGCCAGGGAACTAAGGCCAGATTTCAGCGCTGCTGTCCTCCCAACTAGGGGCCTTTGCACAGCATACAAGCTGCTCAGTTGTGCCCTGAATGTGGTCTAATATCTTAAAGGATATATAAAAATGACGTTGCTAAGGCAGAGATACCTAGAAAGAAACATAAATGATCCCAAAGGCATGCTGTACTTCCTTAAATCAAAGAAAGATGGCAAAGATCAGAAAACGGGCAATAAGAACAGAACAGTCTTCTCAAGAAATGGAAGTTACTGCCAGGCATGGTGGTGCATGCCTGTAATCCCAGCACTCAGGAGGCTAGGGCAGAAGGATTGTTGTGAGTTTGAGACCAGCCTGGGCTACAAAATGAGCTCAAGGCCAGCCTGAACTGCACAGCGAGACTTGCCTCAAAAAGATGAGAGAGAGAGAGAGAGAGAGAGAGAGAGAGAGAGAGAGAGAGAGAGAGAGAGAGAGAGAGAGAGAGAGAGAGAGAGAGAGAAATGGAAGTATGACAGGCTCCAACATCCCAGGGAATAAAATATGACCATCCCTTCCTAATTGTCTGCTGCAAGGGAAGCAGTCGATCCCAAACTGAAAGATAACAAGCAGGGCTTGGGAATAGGAGCAAGAGCTGACTGCACAGGGCAGGAGAGTCAAAGCATCTGGTTCTACTAAAATACACTGGTGATAAGGTTTAAGGAAACACCAATGAGCACAGGCAAATACTGACGGCTTGCTTTCTCCCAGTAAATAGGAGTCTTCTGTTTGCAGCAGTGCCCAGCAGGTGACCACTTGGGAAGCTGACCCCTATAGCTGCTGCCTCCACAGTAAGGCTCTGACACAGTTCTCCACAGGGAAGCACAGGATCATTCTGCCAACGGCCCACATGCTGGAGGGCATGCACCAGCACTACACCTAGGGTACTGGCACTGTATCAGAAACCCAGGGCTCAACATCTATCACCCAGAATTGCAAGTCCTTTGGTTGACTATAATAAATGGAATAAGGACGCCTGGAAAACTGGCTTTTAGAGCTTAGACTCTAAAAGAGAAAGGAAGAGTTGTCCTTTATTTTTACTTGGCTATAATATTGGACAGAGATAGTACTAAATGGAATATCAATTTTAAAAGGCTTGGTTGGGGCCGGGGAGATGGCTCAGTGGAATAAGTGCTTCCCTGGCAAGTGCAAGGGCCTGAGTTCAATCCCTGGTTCCGCAAAAAAA